AGTATGAATCTTGTTTGTCCTAGTCTTTCATATGATATTTATATAATTAAGATTAAAATATTTTCTAAACTAATAATTTTTCGACTTTAATTAATTCGGTTCAGGAGCTACGTTGATTAATGGATCAAAAAATATATTATTTCATTTAAAAAAACCGATATTCAAACTGAAGATAACCTTCATATTCCGATAAAAGAAGCAAAATAACAATGAAATAATTACAATATTACATGTCTTTCTGAAAATCAAGAAACTGTTGTTTGAGATATTTTTTCATGCAGCGAATTACTTACGATCAAAACGTTGTTACGAGAGTCGACCTATATATTTTACTAATAATTTATTAAATATAACATATCTTCTTCTCGTTTATACAGAATATACCGAAAATCATGAACCAAGTGATAATTCTACATGTAAAAATAGATCGAAGAAAAAGATAACATTTGTTTATTTGACTGATTTTGAACTCGATAAGAGAAAATACTTGACACAAGAATATTTTTTTACATTTTTTACATTTGAAAATAAGTCAAAAATGTTAAATAAAACTTGTTCATAAGGTGCTTTATTTCCCAGAAAATTTAACTTGAAAATTAGAAAAATATGCATGTTCAAAACCAATTTACAACTATAAATATTCAAATTGTACTCTCTTACGGAACCTTAAATGGAAAAATTTTATTCTGCATTTTTCACTTATTTTTGCATGCAGAGTAATTTTCTCGATTACTCACTCTTCTCCGATCTGGAATTAATTTATTTCGAAAAGTATAACTGTTTTGTAATGTAATTTGTAAGCTCGAGAATTTCTCTGCTTCTACAGTTCCGAGATAACTCGAGTTAATGAGGCAAGAAGTCAACCAAAATTCAAGTATACTTGACAAATTTTCAAATTCGTTTTCTCAAAAATGATATTTTTAATGAAAAAATTTCATTTCCTTTTTCTAACTTATTTTTGTAGAGTCATCTCTACTAGAAACTGAAACATCCAATTTTAATTTGTAAATGTGAATTACTCATTACACAAAAGAATAGTTCTAGTAAGAAATAAATGGTATCAAGGATTTGGTGTAAGTGGATTTTTTGTAAACGAATGCGTAAAGATCAAGGTCATCTCCATAATTTTAAATGGAATGATATATGTATATTTTACTAATCAATACAGTACATTATTTCGTATAAAATTTTATTAACTACAAGTTACTTATGTCAAAAAATCATTAGGTTAGAAGATATTTTAACCTTAAGTCTTTCATACATTTCATGCACATATTAAATAAAAATGAAGTTAAAATATCGACTAAACTAATAATCTTTCGACATACATAAGTTAATACTTTTTTTATGTAAAATGTCATGTTGCGTCAACTAATGGATCAAAAAATATATCATTATTTAAAAATTATATCATTGTTTAAAAATGTAGAGGTACTCTTCATATGATCTCTATGCATTCGTCTACAAAAAAGCTACTTACACCAGATTGTGATCTCCTTAAAACCATTTATTTTTTATTTGAACTATTCCTTTGTGTAATGAGTCTTTATTTCAACTAACTACCTATAACAAGTAGTATTAGTAGTAGTATTACTACCTATAACAGTAGTGATTTATAAATTTATAAATTAAAATTGAATACCTTGTATTCATAGAAGAATTGATCAGAAAATGTCGTTCAACAATGAGAATATAAATTATATATAGTGGATTCCATAAAAGTGAAAAGTGTCGAGATTATATCTTTAAACGGTAATTTATGTCCATATGATAGAAAGGAGAAAACAATTTTAGTTCACGCACGCACATATCGAGACTGTTTGCGTGGGATAGTGTTCATCGCGGGAAATATCCTGTTTTTCAGAAAAATGTCATATCGGGAAAGACATTAAGGGAGAAAGGAAGAAACTTTCCTCATGCTGATAAATCAGCCAACGACACTCGCGAAACGTTCCTTCGCGAAAAGTTTCACCAACCAAATGTAATAATAAGGATGACGTAGGCGGATGGTTGGAATGTAGTTTGTGATCGAACGATTGTTTCTAACAATTGGTTCTCGTCGTAAATTCGATGGGATAAACCGACTTATTCGTTCATACTACGATTGTATGTATTGATTTCATAATTAGGAATTTTAATTATTGTAAAAAATTTGCTTAGTTTAATTAACAATTTTATTATCGTTGATATAACTAACTTAATACAAAATTAGTAAAAATTAAAATCTTGTATTATATGGACTACGAATATTTTTATATTTTATAGTTTTTATAAATGGAAAATTTCACTTTATAAACGAAAAAATCTTAATAATCTTTTAATTTTATACTTTAAAAGCACAAGTAAAGAAGTGGTAAATTTGGAAGACACAAGAAATTATAATAAATATTATAAATATTCCGCTTTAGATATGTAATATATTTTACATACGTATATTTGTATCTTAGAAATTTTTGGAATCTTAAATTTTTCAAAAGGTATAAACATCTATTATTTTCTTATCCATTCTATTCTTACTGATTCTAAGTAATTGCTCAGGTTAGTTTATTTAGAATCTCATTATAAATTTCATTAGTAATTTCAGATTTGTTTGTATTATTATTAATAAAAAATTTTGAAATTTTGAGCATCATACTGTTTTTATGTATTTATAAAAAATTTAAAAACACAAACTTGCACAGAATATAGATAAAAGAATTAGAAGAATATAAGATATCCAAAATGTAAGTATGTTCTATAACATTTGGTACATGAAATAATCTTCTGTCAGGATTCTATCTTTTTAATTATATTTATATGAAGATCCACAATTTAGTGATTACACTAAAACACACAAACGTAATTAAGCACGATTTTTTCTTGCATTATAGTGTTAATATAAACTGAAATTCTGTATATCATCGTTTGAAAGTTTGTAATTCTTCTGAACCAAAGAACTTTGTACTGATACAATATAAATTTAATTAAGGTATTAAGGTATTGAAATAAACAAAATAGCTACATCACATATAACTATTAAGTAAATAAAAAGTAATGGGACATTATAAAAATAAAAAACAGATATAAAATTAAGTACAATGAGAATATCTCTAGTAAATTTATTAAACACAAGAATTAGTAAATTACATTATCTTTTCCCTACCTCATTATCTGTTCTCTTTTTCAATTATTTTTAATACAAATGCTTTATATGTAATGATTTATACAACATAGTTCATTTAAATGAGGTCACCTAAATATGTTTTCGAATTGTGAGGATACAAAAAATATTTCTTCCCTGTGAATAGTATCGAAAAATCTATTACTGGTAAGAATTTTTTTTTTTTTTAAGTCTTTTTTTCAAGAACTTTTTAAGGTCATTAATATTTTTCTCACATACAACTATTTTTTTTTTTTTTTTTTGTTGCATCGTGTAGCTGGTAAAAAAGTACCATTTATCATTTCAAAGTCATGTTTTTTACATATCTGTACTTTTTTATCGACTACAGGATGCAATAAAAAAAATATAGTTGTATGAGGAAACAACATCAATGACCTTAAAAAGTCCTTGAAAGAAATTCAGAAGAAAATTATACCAGTTATAAATTTTCCGATACTATTCACGACAGGTAAAAAATATTGTTTGTATCATCACAATTCAAAAAGATATTTAGGTGGCCTCACTTAAATGGACCACTCTGTATAATTGACATGATTTTAAAAAAACGAAATAATCAACACATTAACTTACTTTTATTCTGTTCTCTACTTTTCAGTTAATAGCTTCATTCAATTGGCTAACAGCCAAGAATAAAGGGGTTTTATTGCTTTAGTATTCAGTAAAAAAATTGATGATACAATCTACTGAAATAATTAATATAGTAATTTTTATGTATTTTTCAATAAAAATAACTGAAAACAATGGACAATAGAAATCTTTATAACGAAAACATCAAATAATATGATATAGTCTATAGCAGTTGAGAAACTCTTCGGAAAAAGACTGTTTCTTTAGATATGTTTTTCTTCCGAATGTCGCATTTTTATCATTTAAATTGACAATGTTGTATTGCGTTTAGATACGAAAAAATTTTTAAAAAAAGACATATCCAGAAACGCTCTTTCTTCAAAGAACTTCTCAATTCATCGAACACATTTAATTTACGACTGAAAAAATGCATTGAAAAGTATTGGACTATTAACTTCAAAATCGAAAACTTTCAAATTTGGGACTTGATCATATAAAATTATAATGTATTCTTTATACATTTCGGAAGAATACATAAAATTCCATTTGTATAAAATATTTGTATAAAATAAAACTGGAGCAAATATTCTTTGCAGAATTTTTATTGAATGCACCTAAAATTATGTTGAAAAAAATCACGATCCAGAAGATTAAAAGTTTATTGTCATTTCTACATAAAGATAATGCAGTACAATTACAAAAAAAATTATTGAAAATTAAATTCTAATACACGGAAAATGATTTTGCTAACATTTCATCATTAATATATTATTATTTGTCATCAATTTTAATTATAAATGTAATTTAATAATTATTTTACATTAAAAAAATAAATTTCATTATAGTGGTATTATATTTTAGTTCTAATGTTATAATTCTATATGATCTATTAACTTTATTTGTATAAGTTTCAAAAATTTACAATAACATTAAAAATTTTTCATTTATATTATAAATAATATACTATAATTTCATTTATATTATAAATAATATATTATAATTTCATTTATATTATAAAGCCACCTTTTATTTTGTCATGTTTCTTTTTTTAAATTTAAACAGCATTATTTTCATACACTTGTTATAGCTTTTCATACATATTTTTTGAATAATATATATATATATATACATTATTTTTACTACAATTGTTATCTAGACTTTTATCGTAAGATGTTAGTAATAAAATATTATTTTTCCAGACTCTATTTGTGAGTGGTTAATCTTTATCATGATGCTTGAGATAAAACTTCTCTTTTCCGACAATACGTTTATGTCAGGTAGGATTTCTTACAAGAAAAACAATGAACTGACACAAAATATACAGAATGGTGAATGTCTCCGATGAGAATGTAGTAGATCTATTACAGCCTGTACTCTTGCATTCGCATACAAGTTGGTAACTGTCACGTGGATAACGACCTCTATAACATTCTTTGTCGGCGTTCCCAAATTTTGCACATTCGCGTATTATTATATAATCTCGAGAATTCATGAAATAATCTAAAAATTGTGTAATTAGTTTGCATAACAATTTATTTTGCATATATTACAGAAATGTCTCAGAAAATGAAAAAGTAATTATTTAATACAATGTGAACATTTATAATATGATTAACTTCATGAAGAGATTACAGATTTTTGCAAATTTTATGCATTTCTGTACTTAACACAACTTAAAAAATGAAATTTACACAGAAACGTATTTTATCTATTAAATATTATAGTAGAACTTTTACTTTGGATATTTTATATAATTCTTTTTATTGTTTATGTTTGCACCTTCAAATTTCACTATATATATTTTTATAAACGTAACTAGAGAAATAAAACCTAAATAGAAATTTGTTTCATCTATTAAATAAATAATAAATATTCTACTTTAGATATTGTATAGTTTCTCATATTCTATCTATTGTGTGCATATTCTATCTATTGTGTGCATCGACATCAAATCCTCATACGTTTATTTATAAGTACATAGTAAAATAAAAAAGTAATTAAAAAAATAATTATTATAAAAAAGTATACAAAGAATTAATTTAATATAATTAACTTTATAGGTAAGAATACATAATGAAGAGCATAATTGTACATTGATAATGAAAAATTGTTGATAATTTAGGAATTTTTCGTAAAAAATTTAGGATTTTTCTAATTTAGGAAACTCCGTAAAGAAAAATCATATAATGATCCACTCATTTTAGCTTACATTTTGACAGTCAAGACTTCGTCTTTTTCAAAGATGATTTTACATCAACTGTAGCGAGAAGTGTGGGAGAATAACGATACTTTTTTTTGTAAAAACTCAAATATATATAAAAAACGATAACAAATTGTTTACCTGATTGAACTCATTATCATTTTAAAAATTGTCAATCATTATAAAAGTCTTTTACAACGATCACTTAAATTTAGTTTTTTTTTTAGCTATTTTATTGAATTTCGAATATTAAGATTAAACAATAAAAATCTAAGAAATCCTAACATTTCATCATTTAATCCTAATTAATTCAAAGTTCAATAAAATGGTGGAAAAAAATTATACAGCGAGTTTTAAGGGATAGAGAGAAGATCTCAATCAAGACTCAAGATGGCTCTAGCTAACAAAATTTTTGTCAAAACAATGTTTTTATACAGGTTTGAATTTTTACTAGTTTTAAGAAAAAAGTGCATCTTGCATCTCCGAAAAAACTTCCATTACAGACTATCAAACTAGAAATTTCACGCTTTAACTTTAATCCTTTGAATACTATCGGTGCATATGCGTTCAGGAAAATAAGCTCATCAAGGGTTAAAATAAGACTAAGCGACCATTATATAATCTTTTTTTATGAGGTTAAATCAGTTTAAATTATCGACAATTGTCATTGGTACAATTATGCTTTTCATTGTAATTAAACTTCTAAACTAATACGAAATAAAAGAGATGTGTGTTATTAACTTACATATATACACAGCTTTACGACAAAATGGTTGTGATGCAAGACATGGCTTCAAATATTTGATATCTACCGAATTAATAGTGCAATCTTTATCCCTTTTACTATTACATTGATAACATTTGATAGCTTTTGATTCTTCTTATGCGTATCATCCGGCGCAAATTTATGTAATAAGATTAATATAAATATTATGTCATTTATAAAGAACTCATTTTAAACATCTAAATTTCTTATGCAATTCTTTATTCTTGTTTATTATTTATATTTATATTTATAATTGAAAAAATAGAATATTGCAAAATTTAAAATAAATTTTGGTTTATTTTTACGGAACGATTGAAGCAATATATTCTAAAACGGCACAAATTCATTTTTTGACACTATGTAAGTTTAATATTACTTGAGAGAATGCAAAAATTTTATTCTTAATCGACAGTGTACAAAATATTTTAATTTTATAAAATTAACAGCACAAATTTAACAATAATAACATCTAAAGAATGTAAATTTTATCAAAATTTTCGAAACTTTTAATAAATCACATGTTTATTTATGATTAATGGATGAAATGTTTCTTGTGTTTTAGAAATAATAGTGTTATCAATGATTTGAACGTTAATCATATAATTATATAAAACAAAAACTAATTTTACCACTAATTAAGATTAGATAAATAGATTTATAATAATTTGCAAAGTATCAAATTATAGTAAAATATGTGATATAGTAAATGAATTTGTTAAATATCATTTTAAGGATAAAATTATCAGACTGCAGATGTTTATACAAAATTCATATTTTTATGAACGTAATTAAAGAAATATATGCTAAATAGGAATGATTTCATTGTTTAATTATATACATTTCGCAAATTTTCATATTTTTAAACTTTCCATAAATATCCCTAATCTAATTATCATTATACAATATATATAATAATATATATTGATTTCAAAATTAAAATAAATTTATGATTTTAAAACCAACACATTACTATAAGTACATATTAGGAAATTTGTTGCCCTCATACAAAACATGATAATTTACCCATTAAATATTAAGAAGTTAATTAATTACTTTATACAAGATAAAGATGTAGAATAATTAAGAACAAATTTTCAAATTTGTTTGACTTGAAGAATTATGGAAAAAAATAATGAATTAGTTATAATTGATACTAATAATTCTTTAATTTTAATCTTCATTGAGAAAACTTTAATGAATTTGACAGAAAATTTAAAGGAGTCTGGTTTAAAAAAAGTGTTTGATGAAAACAAAAAATTTGACTACATTTAAAATTGGTGAGTTTTATTATAATGTAGAATATATAAATTCTTTTTATTTCTAAATTTTAGACGAAATAATAATTTTAGAATTTTTAATAAATTCCTAACTTTCAGATTTTAGAAAATTTTTCAATACATATATTTGTATATGTAAATAATATACACAATATTCAATTACTACAGAATTAAAGAAAATAAACCAAAAAAATTTTTAAATTATTAATTTTACTTGTGCAGTTTTGAAATTCATTGCTTCAATTATATTAACAGCCAGTACATATATGTTTGCATTCTATTATATTCATATTTGATAACCGTATATTCTGCTTTATCTACAATTGATAAATATGATTTTTCTTTTAAAAAACTTACCTCTCTGAAATACAAATAAAAGCAACAGTACCTGCAATGCATTTATTTTCACATGCATTCTCAATTTCTTGTTTCTATTTACTTAAATAATGAATAGCTTATTTAAGCTTTTCACTAAATGCCAGATTTTCTTAAATTAAAGCCACGTTATTTATAATACCGTGATTTATAATATCGTTTTCAATTATTATAACTACAGCTTAAAAAATAAGGACAAAAAATATTTATTATAAATTAAGAATATTAGTACTTGAGAGGTTATATAATCATACCTTGACAAATGGATTTTTCACTAAAGTGAAAAATTTGTTTCCTATGCTGAATATTTTATATAACTTTGTATAACTTATTATGTAGTAAATATTATGCAAGCGAAACAGAAGCGATCAAATGAATTTAACAATTTTTCACTAACTTTGACATAAAAATTTAGTAATTACTTTTAAGAACATGATAAAATCTGTGCATAGTTTTTTCTGGTGACATATGACGTATTTCTGTATTTGTGTTTTTAAATTAATTTAATGTTGTTACTAAACAGTGTTACCATTTCAGCCACAAAACATAAAAATTACATAGTAATGAGGAAAATTATGAAATAACATCGAGACAAAAAATTATTTGAATATTTGAAATAATTTGATTCATCCAAGAAGAAATTAATCAAAAATTATTGAAAGCAAATTATTAAAAAAAAGAGCAGAAATTTTATTTACGTTGAAAATTAAATTCAAATTATTATAATTTTGAATTCTGATTCAAAAAAGTGTGGTAATAATTTATTAAAATAGTAAATAATAAAATTTCATACGTGATATTGATATTAAAGAGCACATTTTCGATTTTTTTGAACGAAATAAAAGATGGTATGAATTTAGTTTAAATAGATCAATTTAATGATTCATTCTCTTCACAAAAGAGTTAAAATTGAAAAGAATTTAAATATTCATAAATTGTTTCCAAACTATTGTAAAAATTTAGCTCAAAAATTATTTTAATTATTTCATTTTTTACGACATATCTTTATGGCATTTTTTAAATTATTGTATATAATAAAATATCCTTGAAATATTGGATAAAAATTGAGAAAAATATTTGTTATTAATAACATTAATTACAATTTTATTTATTAATATTGCTAAAAAGTAATCCCATTGTTATATCTTTAAAAAATTCCAGAATACTTATCACTTAGAATGTAATCATCGAAGTGGTGTCAGGGACTTACTATGTTGCTAAACAAGTTAAATACTAACTGCGATGAGTAACGTACAGTAAAAATCAGATTGCATATGCAATTTTAATAAATCCACAGCATATCAATTTAATATTTTGACAAATTTTTTTTCGAAAATAATCACCAGTTAAAATAATTAAATTACTTAAAAAAAAAATTCTAGTTCAATAGCTATATAAATATATATTTTTTGAATATTTATTATAAAAAAACAATCTACTGTCCTTATAATATCCTTAATAAAAATATATTGTTAACATACTGTTATTAAATATATTTAATTACTTAAACTAAACTAACTAAACACTAAATACTTAATAAAATATATTTAATAAAATATTTTTAATAAAAAATATACATATTCTAAATTAATACAAACAATTAAATAATAACCTAATAATTAAATAATAACCTAATACAAAAAATTAAATAATAATATATACGAAAAAATATCATTCTAATTATACCAGAAAGTACCAGCAAAAATATTTTATACAATTAGACAAAATATACAATTATACAATAAAATAAAATATTTCTTATTTTTTAATCAATATTTCCCTAGGACACAAGATCTCAAATTTAGAATTATTAATTATTATATATTAAATAAATGATTCAATTATACGTTAAAAATTAATGTAAAGAAAAAATGATACAAAAATATAGAAAAACATTATTTTATTTCCGAAAATAATTATTCTTATTTTGTAAAATGATTTTTTAAACACAACATACTATTATAATTTACATTTACCATTATTCTATTTTATAAAATAATTTAAAAAGTGGTATTTTCGTAAAAAAAAAAAAAGAAAAGTGTAAGAAGTGTAAAAAAAGAAAATGATGTTCTTTTTATCAATATTTCTGCATTGTTTTTTGCTATTATGAAAGAAACGATGGAACTTTTTTAGTTATTTAATATCATTGTTTATCCTAATCAATAGAAAGTAGTGGATTTATTTTTCTATCCAACAGTGATAAATAACGATAAAATTTAAATATTTGGTTCTCATTACTTAAATAAAAACCTTAAATATTTGGTTTTCATTATTCATTTTCGTTGGTGAGCTTAAAAAGGTAGATCATGAAAAAGATGATTCACAAGCTTAATAGTAATGTGGAAAGGTATCCTTCACGTTTCTTTCCGTATTGTTCGCGTGCAACTTATTACGGTAGCTTCCATGACATTTCATGACGTTCAGTATGTCACAGGAAAAGGGATATTATCCACTTAGCGTGTTCCAAACCACCACTTTACGCTCCATTTGAACATAAAGCTCTACGTACCGCCTACGGCCTTCCCTATTTAACATCCAGTCCTGCCTTATCCGTCAAAACAATCATAGTTTTTATCATCGACGATTAGAGATTTAGATATAAAACGTTATAGAAAATTGATAATTTAGTTACCCTTATTTTCCAATTCCCAAGAGGAAATAGAGGATGAAACGATATTTATGTCACATGTATCATAGGTTGATGCATGTGAAATGTCGATTTCCCAGATGAAACTTTTTAGTCACACATGGTTTCTTCGCTTCGGTATCATCTATTCAATCAAAATAATTTCTATTCATTTTTGTAACTTTTAACTTAATTTTCTTATTAATCGCAATGATCAATAATGAGAATTTGTGATGTCTTTATTATGTATAAATAGACTGCAGATTTTTATGCAAATTTATATTTTTGTTAATATAGTTAGCGTAGTAGAACCATAGGTAAAAAATTGTTTCATCTGTTAAATATTAATATTATTAATTTATATAATTAATTTATTATTTTCTATTAACATTAATGAATCTTATAGAAAGATCTCATATTATTTTATATATTTTCTCATACGTATAAGTATTATATGCAATTTCAAACTTCAAAATTTACTGTAAGTATATCAAAATCTGCAGTACATATATATAAATTTTCTTGATATTAAATTACATCGTTTGAAGCGAATTTCATACTTCTGAAATGTAATTGAGGAAGAGATAAAATTTGATAGCTTTAACTCGTTTAATGTCAAATTCAATTTTAAATTGGACACTTCATACATATCTACCTAATATATAACATTACATCTAGATTGTTATAAATTATTTTGATACTTAAATCATATTTACATTGAATAATTAATGTGAGTTTTATCAAAATAAGATAAATAATAATCGTTTGATTCATCGGGTAAATAGTCAATTCTAATTCTAATTTTTTTTTAACTGTAAAATTATACACTTTTTTAAACTGGTAAAATTTTAAGAATATTAATGGGTTATTTCAAAATCACCGATTGTGAATACTTTAAAAATCAAGGAATTAATTCATAATGCATACTCATTTTTATAACACAAATGACAAAATTGTAAAATTGTATTGAAAATCACTAAATCTACAGAAAATACTGACATTTGTATTGAAACATTAAATATTCATCAAAACATTAAAGCACTCATTAAAACATTATATAATTGAAAAAAGTTTTAGTAATTTTATTTTTTATTCTTTTACATTTTTATGGAGAATCCTGTCTTGTCCGACAATATTGTATAATTTCTTCTTTAAATCAACATTATCGAGCAAGATATGATTCTCTATTAAAATGTAAATCAAGAATGAGAAGTAAAATTTTGTTAGACTTTCATATCAAATAATTTTCCAACTTAAATTCTTTTTAATTATTCATTACCATTAATAGGAATATCGCTTTTAAACACAGAAATAATCTATAATTTTTAATAAAAAATCATGTCTCATTAGATAATTCCATCAATTAAAATTCTTTTTGATTATTCGTTATCATTGATAGTATATGATTTTAAACGTAGAAAAATTATTGATTACAGATGTTCCTATCAAATAAAAGATATAATCATTCTTTTTCACGAAAAATTATATCCTATTTTTATAATTCTACATTTTGCGGAATAATTTTGTATATCTCTCAATTAAATTCCCTTTTAACTTTACAGTATTAATTCATTACCATTGATAAGAATATTGTTTTTAACACATGCTGATCTTTTTCGTTCATTTATCTTTTGCTTCTGGATTTAATATATTTAATATAAGTTATAAATGAGTTATAATTAACTTATAATATAAGTTAATAAATGAAGTTATGAAGTACGTGAAATGGAAAAGCGCGTTTTTCATTTTACAATATTTAGTTATCTATATTACTTAACATTCTTTTGTTGATGATATTTATTTCAATTATTTTATTCATAAATATTTATTTACAAATATTTACAAAAAAAAAAAAAAACGCTAGCCATCGATGATCGTCGTGGTAATCAACGTGGTAGTTATAGGAAAATCATTAAAAATGTTTCCAGCGAATGTAAAGACTATAATGACTAAAGCGTAATAAACATAAATTTCAGGAAGCAGCAGTTAAGTTTCTCCTTCTGGCTGTTGGTCAAAAATATTGATTTCCTCAATGCGGCGTGTACAGCAACGATAGAAAATCTGGGCAATGCAACATGGAGAACGAAAATTCTCTGAATAACTCGAACGACGAGTGACGACGAAGTTATTCCTCTTCTATCATAGCTACATCGTTTGGGCCTTGGATTATTTGTTGGTATGAGACAGTTTTTCCATTCGTCTCGCCTCGTCTTGACGACCTTAGTGTTCTTCGCGGCGCAATCACGTATTCGCAGTTCTATCAGTGGTGTAAGCATCGTCGCCTTAGTTACAGGCTTGCGCTGCAATCGCGTCGAGCGACGGCCAAACGAGAGCAGTGCTTCAACAGCTGTCGAGGCCGGATGGTTGGCCTCGTCAACCCCTGATCTGACCATATTCTCTCTCTCTCTCTTTCCTTCTGATTTCGATACCCTGATCGCATCGCTCGATCGCGTGTAATCAACGCCAGTGACCGCAAGGACGCAGTTGAATCGCTGAAGGACATACCAGGATAATCGTACCAAAACCAACATGAGACGTTCTTTTATCTTCGTCTTTTGCCTATTGGTCATTCTCAGTTTTTATGGTAAGCGTCTATGCGTCCAGTCTAGTCTAGAGGCTTTGCTTGGTTCAACGATCGGAACAAGTCTATGAGACTGCTTCCTATTGATTCTGGTGTTCTTCTTTTAGACCAACATTTCTTTTTTTTTTTTTTTTTTTTTTACCATTTTCTTACTTTCCATGACGTTACAGCCCGCGATTATCGTAAACAATTGTTTCTGAGTCTCGGTACGTCGATGTAATTGATACTTACATTTTATACAATTCTATAACATATAACACTTTATTATGTTATCTTTTATTCTTTGATTGGATAACAAAACAATTTTCTTTTTAATCGTAGATTAAGATTAATTATTGCTGTTTGAATTTAAATGGTACGTGGTATACACCGTTTTGTAATTTTTTTTCTATATTTTTTCTTTTTTGTATATCTTTCTTAACTACGATAACGTAAATACAATTGAATAATATAGAATAAATTAATTTGAATTTACGATATGATTTACGATTTGATTGTAATGCAACTCTGGTTCCTCCTTTCCTTTATATTTATCCTACTTCTTTTCCTTTAACTCTCGTCAATAAAGTGACAGTACGTTCTATTCGAAAAGTGGATCAACTAGCTTCCTCGTTCAAGAGAAGTGTTTAAACGCGATATTAGTGTTTCGACCGATTTAACAATAAGGACGAGTATGTGTAACATCATACCTCGTTACAAATTGAATAACTATCATCAAGTTAAATAACCGAAATTATATGCTCCGGAAATTATTTTCGATCCCGCGGTTTAATTTAACTAAATGGACTGCTGCAAACGTTATTGAGATCAATGATAACCAGCTATGTGCAAAGCAATTTCTACACATGTGAAACTTTCCAAACTCCTTATACAAAATTTTATGCTTATTACGGAGTATCAAATATAAAAATGATTATTTACGCTAATATCGGTGTCTGTATAATTATTCTGTCGCTTTTAACATTTCTTAATCTTTTAAACTACTGGTATAAATAAAACTATAGTAGTGACTGCTATTATTTATATTTTGCAACACTTGGAAGCATGAATGGTCGTTGAAACAAGATTAGAAGCTGAAGACAAGCACGTAAAAGCATAATGTGGCTACGCTTTTCTAGGGCAAATGGCTGCATTGATTTTTATATCAGTTAGGGTTGTAAGTGCAATGAACCCTTCTCCAGGGCGAATGTGTACCATTTTCAAGCGTTTCCGAATTTTTCTAAAACGAACTTTGTAAATGATAGCTACGCTACTGTACTCTATAGTAATAGTAATTCGTGTGTTCAAATGTTGACCTATATAAACAAATGCGTATACATATACGTAACGACAACAAATTATTCAATCGTACTGACACAGAACGCATTTGATACCGTGCTCTTCTTGATATGAAACTTTAAATAATCACACTATAAACGTTTCATAGTGACCTCTTTTATCAATCGCCCGATAATATTTCTTATAACCTCGTGCAATTACAAAACTAAATATGAATTTTCTGTGCCAGCACAATGCGGACAACGATTCTGTTAAAACAATTTTCATCAAAATCGATCTATCAATAAAGTTTCAAGTTTAATTAATCTGGAAAATATATTTATTATATATTATAATGTATGTAATTACGAATATGTATAATTACATTATTATACTATGTAATTGCGAATATTTAAATTTATATTTTGATAAATACAACTATTATTGAAAAATGGAATTTACACAAAGATTTGTTTCACCCACTAAATATTATACGAAAATATTAAACTATACGTATTAATTATTACCTATTATTATTATATGTATTTATTATTACCTATTTCTAGTTATTTTATGAAGTAAATCATTAACATGTTGCAGGCATAAATGCGATGCAATGTTATCTTTGCAACAGTCACAACGACAGTCGATGCGCCGATGACCATCCACCCGATGCCCTCAAAAAAGATTGCTCCGATCTCAAGAACGGCGCAAAATATACCATGTGCCGAAAAATTACGCAAGTCATTGAATTTAGCGTTAATGGACGTAAGTAATATTGAAATTTTTTCATTGAAAAAGAATGATCGTTTATTAACATGTTTCAAAATTCCTAATCATATTTGCTTATACTTCGATACCATTAAGATAAATCAGACAACAACTATAACTATCATGCTATCAACCTTTTATAGAATCAATTTTTAATATAATAATTTGCTATAATGCACTATTATTATATTACTATTACATTGATCTATCAAATTAACACAGTATTGATCTGTTTAAATTAATATAGCATTTTTATTATGTTGTGGAAAACTACAATACATTGCCAAAAATGTTAGAATGGCGTGATTAGTGCAATGACTGTTACATTAGTTATATTAAATAATTTTATACATGTCCAAGTCCCATATCCAGTACAACTTACTAGCTTTATTGTACTGTTAATAGTCTGTAGATATTTATACATATTCATTTTGAGAACATTTAACAACATTAATTAACATTATTTAACAAAATAAAATCTATTAAATATTATAACAAATATTACAGTATTTACAATAGATTATGAAAAAAATTATATAAATTTTTATAAATGAAGAAATAAGTAAATTATCATCAGATAATTGGATTTTTATAAATTTTTATATTTTTTCTAATATAATTAAAGAAATGAGATGTAGATAAAATTAATACATTAAACCTAAAATTAATACATTATTTCCAATATTTTACATATTACGTGAATTATATACATTTTTCGATCTTCAAATATCTCTTAAATAGATAAAAATTCGCTTTTTCAATTCTAATTACTAGACTGCAGATTTTTATGCATTTTTACTGAAGAAATGAAAGCTAGATACAAATTTGTTTTATTCTCCAAACATTGCAATAAATATTCTATTTTTGACGTTTTATATATTTTTGTATATTATGTACATTATGAGTACCTTCGAATTTCTCATAAATACATAAAAATTCGCAGTTTACTAATTAATAATAAGCAAGATAAACTGAGCTATTACACATGTTTCAAAACAGTTCCGCCTGATACCCGAGTCATAAGAGGTTGTGGATGGGACGAGTCAAATTATAAAGGAAGGTGTTACCAAAGAAGCGGTTTCGGCGGTCGTCAAGAAGTCTGTTCGTGTTTGACAGACTTTTGCAATACGGCAACACCGAACGTTTTACCACCGACGTCTCTGATTCTATCATGTGCTCTTGGCAGTGTTCTTCTAGCATACATTCGTAATTAATTTCGAGAAAATCCATATACTCTCGACCAGTCGACGAAGAGAATGCGTCTGAGATCGTTAGTACCTGCAAGCAGCTTCGACTTCGCATTTTCAGAGGAACGAAAGTAATCAAAACTGAACGAGACGATACATTTCAAAAGCAATACTTCTTACGCACTTTCGTCATTGATGAAAAAAAAAAAAAAAAAGCGTATAAAACAATCAAAACGCGGTTCTTTCAACGCAAAAACGTCTCCGTCTATTTAGAACTCTACGTTAGATTTCGAAAATAAACGCCGACAATCTCGAAATGTTCGACGCAACGAACGAAAAGTTCTCAATGGGAATATATGACTTCCACCTTGTTCATGGGTTGAAAATTACAATAGTCTTAGACGGAAAATGCACTTTGTTCCTGATTATCTGGACGTTTTCGAGTGAAATATACCGAGGAGAAAAATTAATGCGCCTATTACCAACTAATGCCTACATCTAATTACTGTTAATATTGTTGCAAAAATGACTCAAATACATAAGGGTGCAGAAAAAAATGTTTTTTTAGAAAAAATATATGAATATTTCTATTCAAAAAATATCGTACATGCATATCTACTAACGCGTTTTATAGTTATATACGTATATGTATAAATTTTTAACGAAAATAATTACGTTCCTTCGAGAAGCTTTCACGAGAAAGATATTGCGCAGAGATTCAGGAACGGTACGATCTTTGATAGCTTTTTGCGAATTGTCGAGCAGCTTGACGAGCACTCGTCGATCATGCATAATTTTTCTTTAAACTCTCCAATTTAGGTGCTGAAGGTGTGACGATTGTCACATTGTGTTCACTTGACAATTTTTCTGCGTAGAGCTTAAGAATGACATTACATATGTAATAATTACGCAACTTGTTGAAAGTCTATATGTTGTCTATATGTTGTGACAACCTTCGCGAGAGAAAAACATTTGTATGTTGTGTTTTTGTGCGAAGCGAGGAAAATATATCAGGGTTGCCGTTGCGGAGAACACGAGGTCTGTTATTTTCCTTCATCCTGTCGAACAATGTATCGAACGATGAAATGTATTTGACAAAAGACATTCTTAAGAATGTTAGAAAGAAATATTTTATACTCGAAAAAAAGAAGCATAGATAATTTAGCATGGTTTACGTTATTTGTATTTTAATAAAACGATATTAATTGAGTGTAATTATTTATATATATAAAATCGCTATAAATTCATTAAATTCTATAATGAAGAGCATAACTGAACGATGAAAAATTGTAAATAATTGTAAAAACTGTTATAACTTCGTAAATCGTATATCAAATCGAATGACATCATATATCATAAATTTGAAATCTTTCAAAAATTTTATATCATATAGTGGGTGGGAATAGCTTTTTTCTTGAAATTTCATTGACAAATTTTTTTATAACTAGCTCCACCATAAGTTTGAATGGTCTTGAACATTTTATTGAATTTCAAACATTAGAATTAAATGACAAAATGTTAGGATTTCTTATTGCTTAACGTTAATTCAAAACTCAATAAAATGTTGAAAGAAATTGTACATCGAGTTTCAAAATGTCCCAATAAAAGGAAGATTTATATTAATCTTTAAAATGATCGTAGATTCAGTAACAAAAATAATTTTTTGATGTTTTTAAAGATATTCAAATTTCAAAAATTTTCAAATTACAATTTTTATAATTTTACAAATTATAACAGTTTAAATTATTGACAATTTTTTATCGTTATTAGTTTGGTCAATTATATTCTTTACTGTGTAATTTATTTTATTCTTAAATTCGATCGCGAAATAAACACATATGTACTTTCTGTATGATTCAGCGGTATCGAAGATATTCAGAATTTATAGAAAATTAATGGATAAAAAAAAAAAACTATAAAATTAATGAGTTAAAAATATAATTATATTAAATGCACTCATGGACAAAAATATCGGTGCCGTGCGTCAAATTTTTCGCTCGTTTCATTGTTCCGAGTAGAGAATTTTTGTTTCAGGCTAACAGCCAGTAATCTGCCATTTTTCTTCGTGATGTTCGTTGACTTTCGTTTCGTAGATTACCATTTATTTCGATATGTATATATAAGTTTGGTCACTTTTCGTTTACAAGGAATTTCGATTTGTCTCCGTGAAAGAGGAAATGTTATACGAGGAAAACCATAGCATGTACATTTATTAATTCGAGTAAAGAAAAGAGTGGAGCAATTTTTTGGAAAGTCGTGGATCAACATCGAATTCTTTAATTTAACCGCAAGTTCGTTCGTTAAAAGTTTTAAATCCTTTCTTTTCTCTGTTCTCACGTATATACTCGATATGGATTTAATATCTCATTACCTGTCGTCTCCGCGAGGACGTTCTCTTACTTTGTGACTCGTTTATCATTCACTTTAATACGTCGTTTATTGAACGCAAATTTATTCAAGAAGAGTGAACGGATTTGAATATCAGGTAAAACGAAAACTTATCCATTGTTACATACGCATAAAATAAATCGAAGCGAAATTGTGCTTAGGTTAGCGACGTATCAGATAACAGCTGACATAGTGGCCAAGTTCATTTCATTTAAATAAAATAATCGTTAACTATACGTATTATTTGTTAAGTAACGTTTTTCTTGAATTTTATTCCAATTCAGAGCATTACAAATTTATATACAGAAATCATAATACTTTTCGCATCGATTCAAAATTATAAATCTTCGACGCATGATGATATAACAAACACATATTGAACGAATTGTTTCCCTGCGCAGACATTAAAAAGCGAAAGGACAACGAGAGGATTTATATTCTAAGTCGGGGTTAGGTGGATCATGCACTCTACAGCCGCACGAGCTAATCGATCGAACATACAGCCTTCAATTTCGTCTACGTCAGCCCCATCGTCCCTTGTGCACCCGCAGCAACAACAAATTCTTTATGGTCCTATCGCTAATCCGACAATAACCCTTCAACCATGCGGAAATGGTTTACATCCCTCGTGTATTTATCCAGGAGCGCAACGTAACACTGGTCTGACTAATCCTGCTCCTTTACATATACAAGGTGTAAATACGTTTCCCTTAAAAATCTTCTTCATTCTATATCCTATCTTCAAAAATATTACGATGAGATTAATTTATTTTTAAACAAAATAAAACACACGACCATTGTTTGAACTACTAACGATTACGATTAATGATTACATTTTCAATTACCACAGACTGCAATTTCTTTTATCGATAACTGCGGAATCTGTTTTATTAACGATCGAATTAATAACATTTTTTCTTTTTTATTGATTACATTTTTCCCCCCCGATTTTTATATTTTTTATTTGAGGAATAAAAAACAAATTAAGGAATATAATTTAAATCTAATTTATATCTAATCTAGTTTAATAATTTAATCTAATAAAAGAATCTAAAGGAAAAGAATTAAATTTCGTAGAATAAAAATGATGTCCTTGATAAAAAAAAAAAAAAAAGAAAGTACTAATTACTTTATTGACATACTGGTATCAAATAACGTATTTATCTTAAATAATGATTTCAGTTTTCTAAGATTCTCGTACAAACCCATCCATGAATATAGGCAAAAGCAGCAGATGGCCACCGAAGAATAAGCTCGTACGAAATCAGCAATATTGTCAACAACAGCAACAGCAACAGCAGCAGCATATTCAGCAACAATTATCCTATAGCCCGAAACCTTTGGTACTGTATGATCAAACAACGAACAATGCCCCGCCACTTGCACCGGCTACTTCGTTTTTAATTGCTTCGTCAACATACACGCACGGCTCATTTTCCGGGGATCAGTATAACAATTCTGGAGTCACATTGATACCGCAGCCCTACTTTAAGCCTCCGGATGTACAAACGTTCTGCTTGATTCAAGATCGACAAAATATTCAACAACAAGAGCAACCGTCACATAGCTCCTATTACAATATCTCAAACACCTGCAACTTGCAAGCAATTAACAGTACTTCAGCATTTCAATTTCCCAATCTCAGTCCTTACGCGGCTACGGCAAATTTCACGAACAGTCAAGTCACGGGTCCCGTTCAAACCATACACTCCAATCAAATCTTCCCTAATCCTCCGAATTTAGTTTATGGTAGTTCACAAAGAGATAAACCTGTTGTCGTTTCTTCTGCTACACTCGACATCCCTCCTCTTAAAATCGATAAAAGCAAAATACCTACAGTTAATACGTCACAAATCACGCCGATATCATCTGAAAATTACAACGAATGGCCATCTCAAACAATCACCTCTCCTTCTAACAACTTATTCAACATAAAACCGAATGCAGACGATGAGACAAACCAGGAGATCATCGCAAATTCTTTGGAAAAAACCACGTCGCACGTATCTACGAAAACCCAAGAAGAACATTATTCCGACGAATCGTCAGCTAGCTTCGATTTTACAATCGAAGCTGAGAAAATGGTCTCGGCGCTTTGCAACATATCTTCGAACGACATTAATAAAGAGGAAATGAAAACCGAGAAATCCAATTCAACGCCGTTGTTCAACGGAGCTGGCGATACCGCGTCGAATAAAAATAGTTGGTTTGCCGAATTTTGTACGGATTATGGAACTGGTACGTCGATAGCTGTTCAAACAGATGGACCGTGTCTCGATAGGACCCAATATCCAGAATTGTTGCGGAAACTTATCTACTGGGGGTGCACGGAAGGCGAGATCCTCTTAAATAATAGTTTCAAAACAAACGCCAAATGCAATTGGTTGAGAAATCTTTGTACCGCCACCAAAACAGCAGTTACCAAATCTTCCACTTGTTTCCCAATCTTTGCCGGAGATCGTGTTTTTGTCGGTGATCTGATAAACGCTTTGTTACGCATTAGCAACGGGTGGCTCATTCTTGACAATTATTTAAACAAGCAACACTATCCAAGCTTGAATAACAAGTTCGACTGCGAGTTGCTGAGATGCTTTCGTCTGTGGGAAGAGAGCACGCACGAACTGCTGAATCAAATCGTCCATACGTTCTTAAAGCTGGAAGAGAACGGCGATGTTTCTAATTTCGAACAAAAATCAGAATCATTTGGAACCTCTTTTCCAGGTGACGTTTCAATTTACACGAATCGTGACTTGCTCGATTCGTCTTCAACTATGATTATGTCGAAGCAGAAGTCCGACAATAAAAGGAACAGTCAAGATTCCTGTAACGGTGCGCAGCTATCAACCGGAAACCTGCGAAATTTCAGCCTCTACAATGTTAACCAGGAGAAACAGTCGTCCCAGAAAGAATCAAAATTACGAAGTAAGTGGACTATTACTGAGAATCTAACAACAATAGATAGCACGAAATCCGTGCCTGATATGTTCTTAGGGCACACGGAATCTGGAAGTCAGGCGAATAGTAGATTTCGTTCAAGGGGGAATTCGTCTTCCAGCAAGACAGATATGTCCGCCCAATCGGTGAACGCAGAATTTTTTCATCTGAGAAGCAAAATTCTTACGGAGAGTAATCAAGATACATCTAGACAATGGTCATTCAAGGAGAAGAAGCAAGAGTTTCCTGAGAATAAAGTTTCGTCACAGGAAAATGTCGACACCATATTTAGACTACAACGACAATTAGATGAAAATTGTGAGAGCAATTACGCTCAGAAATGTTTATCAAGGGTGGAATCGTCGTTTCTGAATCCTTCGATTAATTTAGAATCTGTGTACTTTCCATCTACTAACGAACACGAAAATTTCTATCATAGTTACGCTATTTGTCCTCCGTATGCGGTAGATTACGGTAATAAAAATTCGAAAAATTTTGAACAGAATCATAGGAATAAAACGAACATGGATTTAGTTTACGTTGGCAAATCAACGACGAATCAACTGGCTGCCGTGCCAAAAGATAAAATGACATTACTCAGTCAAATAGAACCAAGTATTTCGGAAAAATCATCGGACGAGATGACCGCCAATTTGTCAGCCTGGTTCGCCAGTATGAGGAACGCTGATAACCGACAAATGCCATTTATGAATCTGACAGATATGAATACAGAAACAGTTATACCGCGAGGATCAACGCGTCCAGAAATGTTGAAGAATACGATGGATCTCAATAACTGTATCAGACAATTGCACATCGACGCAAATCGTCAATTCCAAACGCTACAAAATATACAGAACGTCCAAACTGCACCTTGGAGCACTTACAATTTGATCAATAATCGCACTCAAGTGCAGCAAGTTTCTGAAGAGTATGACAGCTCTGAGGATGTTCGAGTATACATGAAACCAGGAAGCTACAATGTTCCAAAGAAAAGGCATCAGAGAAGATCCAATCGTCGTTTAGAAAATTCATCTCGAAACGCTGCCAATGGGTCCTCGAACAATCATCGCAGTCACTATATATACAACAACAAAGAGAAGACATTTTGCACTCCAGCATCGTCAACGCCTGTGTCCCGACCTACCACGTCCATATCTAACAACGTTAATGCTTCTGCAAATATAATGAAAGTACCTTTCCCGGCGACTCCTATCGTGCCACCTCCTATTTTCTCTCTCGAAAATTCACCTAGGATTTTAAAGCGGTCCGACACGTGTAATTACACTGTGTCTGAGGATGTTACTTGGAAAGCAGCCTGCGCTTCCGCTGAAATCCTATTAGAGGCGTTGAACGTAAAAGAAGATGCGAACTTCAAGAAAACGGAGATCAATCCTATTGACGTTATCGAAAAGTTTGATGATGTCAAAAAGAGCAATAACGATGACATGACGTTTCAAGCGACGCAAGATCAAGAAAAATTAGAAGGAGGTCTTTTGAAAAATTTGAAAGACAATAATGACGGTTGCGGCGGTATTTCAAGTTACGAAGCATCCGAGGATGACTCTGGCTCCACGAAACACTTTTCCCCCAACACGAGTATCAACGAAGCTTTACAGTTGCCTGGTAATAAAAATGGTAATAATTATAATCATTTGAGCTTTATCATAAATATTGCTTCTATCGGAAGAATAAAACTTTTCATTCTTTACATGTAAATTTGGAAAGAAAACAGTCTACGTGTTCCATAAATTCTGTATAAATGAAATATCGAACATTAATTGTAATTATTTAATGAAAATGAAATTTAATCATTTTAATACTAGAAGGACGGAAATTTGAAAGTTTCAGATTTTGATAACGTGCAACTATCATAGCAAATCTTTCTTTTAAAAAATATTTGATAACATGGTATACTTAGAATCGAACAAGCACTGTGTTGTTTGTCCCGTATGTATGAAAGATTGAAACATAAATGAAAACATATGCCTGATATCATATTAACCCTAGAACGATACTGTGTAGTTGCCAGGAGTTTATCGAATTTTAATCGTATCTGTAGATATAATATAAATGGATATTAAAGTAGTGAACAAATGCTCTTATTATGTGCTACAATTTATAAAATAAGTTGTATACATGTTGCATTCTTTACAACGAAAATTTATGCTAAATCAACTCATTTGAACTTATTTACTTGTATTTACTTGTATTTAGAGCAAATGACGGACTATTTTTGAGAAATTTATGAAATTGTTTTAAAATAAAATAAATTATATTTTTTATTTATTTATTGAAAACTACATATAGCAATTGGAATAGCCAGGAACATGTTGAAAAGTCTCTCACATCGAATAAAAATCTTCCTTGCATTTCAAAACGACTTTTTTATTAATATGTTTTATATAATATTTTAAACATTTGGTTTTAACATTCAATATAATTTTACGGTCTTTTGTATGTTTCACGCTTCTCATAAATAAAGTATTGCAAAGAAAGAAAAATATTTGAAGAGAACGAATAATGAAAAAGTGAACAGGACAGCAAGATTAAAATGTCTAGAGAAGAGTAGAAAGAGAATCTGCGAAAATATTCAATCATACATATAATATTTAAATTTCATTTTAGATTATCAATAACCGCACAGTGTCATATACGTCCAAAAATAAATAAATAAATAATGTTATTCTAGGGTTAAGGCAATACTTCCGTTCTTCCAGCATTAAATATCGCAATATTTTATGCAGCTACCCGTTAACAGGTTCTAGTAAAATGAATGTAAAAACGGACTCGTGGTTAATCAAAACATTGAACAACGCTAATATGGCAAATAAACAGAAACGACGAAAAAACAGTGCCGTTCCACATAGTTCCGAATCATCGAACAGTTCCGTAACAGAAAATGAACAGACGATACCTGTTGTTTCATTAGTGACCAATAGCACTGTAACAAAAGTCGCAACAACAACAACAACGGTGAAAAATCTTCAACAGACTATTAACTCGAGGAAAAGTTCGTGCATTTCATTAAACAATGACGAAACAACGTCGGAAGAGACCAAACGTGTCATAGGAAAAGCCACTTACTCGGAAACTGTACGACGTTACTTAAGTACTTCGCTCTCGGAGAAAAAAGAATTTTGCAAGAAAAGCAAATTAAATATCGCCAATGTATCGACGATTTGCAGCACTGTAATACCGATCCCTGGACGCAAGTGTCAGAGAAAAGATTTCGAAAAATCGTATTATCTCTTACATAATAGATCTCGTAAATGTTCCGGGAAGAGAGCAACGAAAAATTGCGATGTCAACGATTCTCAAATGGAAAAAACATCGAAATCCACAGTCGCGATAAAACACGGGAAGAAAAAGGAAAATGCCGGATGCATCGAATTTTTAGATGGGAAATTTGGTGGAAAAGTCAGCGATAGAGGTTGGTCCGTATGGTATAGTTCGAAAAGAAAACAAAGTCTCAGTCCGCTTGCGCTGAGCAAATTAGAAATGATACATCGGACAGTTTGGCAAATGGAAGAAGCAGAAGTTTTCAAATGTCCATCTTCAGAAAACAATAGTGATAAACAATCTTCTTCATGCACGGTTAGTTTTTATATTTGTATAATGTAATATAATATAATATAATTTCTTTAAACACTAAATTGATAGTTGCGCGATTTTCTTTCAGATCGAAGACTATTGTAAAGTTATTAAAAGTCCAATGTTCCTGGAAACGGTGGAATACAAACTAAAGAATCGAGTTTACCATAAAGTAGAACACGTGGTTAGAGACTTTCGTCGTATCGTTTATAATTCGAAATTATATCATAAGGTTCGTATCTTATTTGTTAGTTCTCTAATTTTTTGCTAGAATTGTTAAGAATCAAATTAATACGATGATGCCAGTGCTCGACTTTTTCATTTCTATAAATATTTTAGAATAATTAAAACAAAATGAATACCATTGATAGAAAGATTTTAAATGACCAAAGTAATGTTATAAAATGAAAAATGCGCTCTCATTATCCTTATATTATGATATAATTCTTTATAAAAATTAAATATTCTTTATATAAATTATATATTACCGTCCAATAGATAGAACGTGCAAATTTCGCGTGACAGTCATCATGTACGATTGAGTTAATATGAATTAATATTTAGATAAATATAAATTTGCATAAACATCCGCAGTTATAAATAACTATAAAAATTTATATTAAATTACAAAAATTTCAAATATTTAATTTTATTTTGATTTCAGTTTCTATTCTCTGCGATAAAAATTAGTAATGAAATTCAATTAAATAAAAAATTTCAAAATTAAATAACTTACCTAATTCTAAATTTTCATGATTTCGGTTAAAAGTTGATACCATCTTATCACAGGACGATCATGATCGAGTAAAAACTATTGAAACACTGTCGAAGAAACTTGAAGAACTGTTCGAGGAACATTTTGCGAGTTGGGACTTCGATAATATTAGTGGTAGTCCAAGAGAAAGTTCACCAGTGCTGCATCGATTTAAAACGGCTGGACAAAAATCGATAACTGGACGTTACAGCAACACGAAGAAATGTTCGTCTTCTTCGATCACCAATAACATATAGTATCTACTATATAGTATGTGCTTTCTGCGACATCAAACTGCGCTCAAAGAATTATTGTGTCTATCGTTTTATTGTGCATCTATAATACTTATTATTATTAGATTAACAGATGTCTGATTGCATCAAGTTTATGTAAAATTGTTAGACTCGAAATTAAGTATATCTGTAAGGATCGATCATAATATGTTCCAGTCACGTCAGTTCATATTGTTGTCGCATCGTGGACGTTCTACGGTTCTTTTTTCTTTCGCAACGCAGCTTGCTATGTTAAAATATTTTTCGTCTTACTTACAAACGAGCGAAAGTTTAAACGCTTAGTTTTCTGGTACATACATCGGTATAAGGTAATGCATCTTAAATGTGAAACAAGACTATAGGTTAACTGCTCGTTTTTTTATCATTGATATTATACATATAAAAAGAAAAGATAATAATACTAATTACTTAATAACGTTGACCATAGCCTACAACTTGAGAGTCCTCAATTATCATTAAAAGAAAAATAATCCTGAGTATTTTGTTCTAGCAAGATTGGAAAATATAATTAAACGAAAATAGTGAAAGCAATTATAAAAATAAAGAGGAAAAATATTATAAGAATATTTTCCATTTTTAATGTGATCAATATGCATGAAATATATTACATGAGAGAAAAGAAAAGAGAACTATTATAATGTAAAATTGTACTCCAAGCAAATAAAATATTGACCAAATAAAATAGTTGAAAAAAAAATGAAAAATCCCGCGTTTCACGACAAGAAAGGCAACGCATGCGCAGTGTAGGCGCTATAATCCGGTAAAGTTAACACGCACATACCGTAGAGAAATGTCAGTTGTGCGATTCAAGTAGTGTGCGCACATGGATTATAATAATGTCAAACATCGAGGGAATGGAAAGATGGCGGTCGAGCGGTAATTTTGTGATGCACGGGGTGTAGTCTACGAATGGTGTGTCTTACATTCCCAAGAGAACCATCAAAATCATAATATTATCGTGCAATGTGACTACATACTGATCACGACCGTCCTGTGAAGCAGACCGTGACAAGAACGGAAGGACAACGACGGAGACGAGTAGAAAAATTAAGGGGAGTGAGAGAGCCAGGAGAGTAGAGAAAAAAAACGGACCCAGTTTGCACGTAACGAGTGTAGAAGCGGTTCATTGCTCTGCTCTGACTTGTCGCCAAGATGGATTGGGATTCGATCACGATGGCGAGTCTTCATCTGACGATGACCGAGCATCAATATTACGAAGATATTTTTAGTTATTGCTGTGAAAATACAGACAACGACAGTGTACCGGTGATCAAAGTAGCCGAGCTACTACGCTCGGCAAATTTACCAGCGGTTGTCACGATGAAGGTAAATTAGATCAACTCATTGTACATAGGTTGTCAGCTGTTAGTTTTCTGTCACACGCATATTACGTTATTGAAATTATAGAATCTCTTTAATTGTATGTAAGTGGGCGTTTAATTACTCGAACGTGACGCGATATGGAGAATTTACAGAAGCTCATGAAGGTTAGGATTAGAGGACTGTTACGAGAAGATTATAAGCACTCTAATTGAATGACGAATTAAACAATTATGTCTTTATGCTTTTAAATCGAAAACAAGTCAAATCCATCATTTTTTAATGTAATATGTGCCAATATTGATATGTTATTATTCTGGTAACAATGTATACTTCAAAAATTTATGGCACCTACATAAATTTGGAAATGTAAGTTACGTTTATCGAATGTACGAAAGTACATTGATTTGAGAAAAGAACATATTAATATCATCAATAATTTATTCTGAATTTTTGTAAAATAATAAAATAAAACATTTCAAATTGATTTCTCACATTTAAAAAATTTTTTCAAAATAAGTAAAATATGTGTTAACAATTTATTTCAAATGAATTAGATTCAGAAATATTTTATATTTTTACCAATAAATAAAATAAAATAAATATAAAATGAAAATTTCAATTATTGAAACTTTTAGATCTATAAATATGTGTTATACATAACATTAATCTAATTTACTAAAAATATTCAGTATAACATATATCATATTACATATCATGGATATGTGTAATTATAAATACAGAAATAGACAGTTTTAAATAAAATATTAATCATGCTTATTAGCAAAATATATTTTTCTAATTTATAGATATTGGATATCTGTTTTGGGACTGAAGCAGCACACATTGGTACACATCTTGGGAAAAAACAGTTTTATGTATTGTTGAAGCTTGTAGCTGCTCATCAAGCAGGACTCAGTATTCGTAAAGATATAATTACAATGCCTTTGGATGTTATCACCTTACCAAGATTTACTTGGCCAGCATCTGGAGAAGAAGATGGTAGGAGAAGTTCAGATTCAAACAGAGCTATAACAGGTCACCGACATGCTCCTGAGAGTACTACAGAAAGTGAAAGTGAGGCAGAATCTCCAAGGGAAACTGGCGGTAGTACAGATTCACCAACTCCGACAAATAGTATAATACAAGAAAGAAACAATGACATAGGTGGTGAAACAATATTAGATTCTGTATCTGGAGGTTGGCAAGGATTATTGGTATCTGAAGAACAGAGGCAGTTACTAGGAACCGAAGAAGAAAGTTCAGAGCGTCATAGTAGTGATGAAGGAGAAGGAGATGGCGATGGCTCGTTCCCACCTGAAGAAGTATGGATAATTAGTGATGAACAACGTGAATATTATGCTACTCAATTCGCACAATTACAACTTGATCCTGAGGGACTTTTGCATGGTTCTATAGCTAGGACATTTTTTGAAAAGTCTGGACTTCCTTTAGGAGAACTTAGTCGTATTTGGCAACTTGCAGATATTACCAGAGATGGAGCATTGAGTTTACAAGAATTTTTTGTGGCTATGCATCTTGTTGTGTTACGAAGAAATCATGTGCCTCTACCTGATGTCTTACCTCCACCATTATTAATTCCTTTGCTTAAACAAAAGACTGGTCCACCACCTATTCCATCAACTACAACTACAACTACTCAAAAAAGTCCACCTAATACCACTGGTACTCGTGAAAGAAATAAAGAATGGACAAAATTTGTTGATTCACCAACTGGGACTAGCAGTTCTTTGACTAGTCCAGGCTTACAATTAGTGAATTTTGATTTTCAAAAGTCTGCTGTTGAAAAAGATCCTAAAATTTTGCATCCTGTACCATTACGTTTAACGCCTGAAGCAGCAATTCTTGCTTCTGGAGCAAACGGTAACAGTAGCAGCTGCACTACGTTGGGTGATGATGATCTCCAACGTACTGCAAGTGCATTGGTGCAACGACCTCTTATTAAAAAACCACCTCCACCTCCTGAAGAAGCTATTATAGTAACTCCAAAGAAGGAACCGCCGCCTCCACCACCACCCAGACCATACAGAACACATGCAAGAAGTTCTAGTCTTGATCTTAATAAATTAGGTATATGTTGCTACCAATACTCTGCGATACTTTTCATCTGTGGCTGAGAAAGCAAAGTTTTACGCTTCAAACTGTGCGCGTTCTTGTAGGGAAAAATGGTCAAAGTTTCCTTGGAGCACCTCCACTAGTTCCACCAAGAATCTCTCCTGGAATTGTAAGTTCTTTTATCTATTTTTAAATCATTTCATTACTAAATATTTAAATTAAAGCTATTAATAATGAGACCTACATTTAATTAAGCTGCTTTTTATGGATCTGCGCAGTAGATATTTCAGATATTTTAGATGTTGTTATCATGTTATGGATTCGGAAAATTAAAAAATAGGCAAAATTATTGTTATAAAGAAAATTTTGTCATGTATCTCTACTACAGACTTCACCTCGAAAATTGGTCGGTCAAAAAAGTGAGGGAGAGGGACAAAAAACCTTAAATGAAAGTCAAGGTTTTGTTGCTGATTTTTCTCACTTTTCTCCAAAGAGCGAACTACCTGAAAATCCATCTTTGGAAACTCCGCAATCACAACAATTTACTGGTGTCTGTGGTGCATTTCATATTTACAGAAAACCCAGTCCAAGTAAGTTCTTCATTTTCTTTATTTTTTTTTTTTTTTTTTTTTTTTTTTTTTTATCTAAATTCCAATATATTTCTGTTTCTAGATTTTAAAATATTTCTATTTATATATTTCTATTTCTAGATTTTAAAATTTTATTGCCTCTTACCTTTCTATTTTACTTACAGAGCGAGAAGGAGATGAAGATGCTCCTAAGGATGAATTGGAAGAATCAAAAAAATTAACATTACAAGAATTACGAGAGAAAAACGCTGAACTGCGATTAGTTTGTGAAGAATTGACACGAGAATTAGCTAGTGCACTACAGGAACGTATAAATCTTCGTGCAAAACTCTTACTTTTGACATGATGTAACCTGTTATCATCTGTAAAGACTTCAAACTATGAATTATTGATTTTTCCTAAATTTGTTGTAAAATCGAATATCTCATGTGTCATGCTAGTCTAGAGTATTTCCTTTTGCAAAGTTTCGTATATTCACAACAATTAGCGTAACCAAAGTAACAACTACAGAGCAGATATTAATAAAAATTATTCGTGTTAACTATTCAACCTACTTTTACTATCAGTTAGTGTATAAAATATTTAAATTTTAAATGTCTTTATACATTTTTCATGCTTTAATGATGTGGTTTTCTGATATTTATAAATATTTGAATTATGTTATATTAAAAAGAAATAGATGTTCCTGATTAGCAAGAATGTTGAAAAAATATCAACGAATATCAAAATTCTTTGTGGTTACGCTATGATTCACATTTTATCCTTTTTCACAGATAATTCCAGTGTGCATTATTAGAAGCGTGGATACAAATATTGTAGCAACATCTGCCACTTTCTAGCATTCAAATGTTACAGCATTTTAACGTTCAAATAATTTTAAAAACTTATATTTTTTATGCATAGTACTGTGCTAAATTGCTGAGAAATAGTTCTTTATATATTACAGAGTTTTTAAAGTTGAATAATCGCATCAAGCGGAATGAAAACTTGATGGTTACTGTATACTACAAAACTATTAAAAAAAGAAAAAAAAAACATATAAAAGTGAGTGATGAATATTTATTGTTTAATAACAAAATAAAACTGTATTTTCGTATTGCTGTACTACCAAATTTTTCACAGCATGGCATAAAAAGATCGATATTCCTAAAGTGTTATAATGTATTTCGTTTCGTGATTTAATTGTATATAGCAAATAGAATTAGAACAAGAAATGAGAGAAAATGAAGTCTGCAGGAACAGAACACTCAAAGAATAAATATACTTTAAAAAGAAACATTGATACTTTCAATCAATTTGTATGTTCTACTTTTGTTCTATTTAAAAGATTATTCACTGTATTACTTTTAATCGTTACAAAGAATATTACGCTAATTATTGCTATTGTTTCCAAATGTGATAACTTGTATATAAAAACAACATACTACAAAATGCTTTGTTCAGTATCTTTGTTCAATATTTTATTATAAAAATTAATTTAACTGAGAAATATAAAGGAACTATTCCTTGTGCCATATAATGCAATACTTTAATAACATTGTAATTAATATTGCAGTCATTTGTGACAGCTGAAAACTTTTGTTAAAACTGTTTAAAAATATTCCAATCAATAATCGTATTAAAATATCTTTTTGTAAGTGTACAGATGTACAGAAAGTATGAGTTAACTATTACGTAAGTTAACTATTGATTTATTCCATTCCTATTATTCATGTAATCCTGTAAAAATGTATTAATACATAAAAAGATAAAGAAATGTTTAAAAAATAAAGCATTCTCTTAGTTTCATAATAATTTTTATTGAAATCAATGTATTGGATGACAAATAATATTACAGGAAAAAATTACAAATACTTCAAAATTTTGATTGTAAATGTGATGAATAAATAAAATGATAAAAAGTAATTAAATGTAACATACATTATTTTTATTGTATGATACAAGAATAATTTATGTTGCATGTGTCTACTGTCACAAATATACATTATATTTGCACTTGTATAGTTTGTAACTATTTCAAAACTGTAGACAAAAATTCAAATTATGTAATCCGTAACGTGACAAATCCTAAAATCTGTTTTCTTTTGTACTTGTTTTGATAATCAATACCTATGTATTATTAGTTGCAACTATTTATTATGTGCGGAAAAAAACTTTACTTTTACTAAAAATATTCTTAATTTCAGTTTATTCAGTTGGTTGGATTTTCTACTGATATTTAATTTGAAATATCCATACAATAACGATATATTCATATAACATTATCATATAGAACAATTTACGAGTTGTTACATATAAATAGACGTAAAATTTTAGTTGTCTTTCGTTTGTACGTATTTAATTAAATCAATTACGCGGTTAGAATAACCAAATTCATTATCGTACCATGAAATTAACTTGACAAAGTTATCATTCAAAGATATACCGGCTTTAGCATCAAAAATACTGGAATGGTTATCACCAATAAAATCGGAAGATACTAACTCATCTTCCGTATATCCCAAAATTCCCTTCAACGGCCCTTCAGCAGCTTCCTTTACTTTAGCTTTAATAGCATCATAGCTTGCAGGTTTGGCAAGTCTAACCGTTAAATCAACAACTGACACATTATGTACCGGTACACGGAATGCCATACCAGTCAATTTTCCATTAAGAGCTGGAATAACTTTGCCAACAGCTTTAGCTGCTCCAGTTGCAGCGGGAATAATATTTTGTGCAGCACCACGACCGTCACGCCACAACTATTATATAATCAAGTAAAAAATAAACATCAGCATAATTAACATGATAAAAGAAACATCAATTATAAACTAAAGAAATATATTATTAGACAAAAATTTGATATACCTTTCCAGAAGGTCCGTCAACAGTTTTTTGAGTAGCAGTAATAGCATGCACAGTAGTCATAAGACCCTCAACGATTTCAAAATTGTCATGAATAACTTTAGCAAGAGGTGCTAGACAATTAGTAGTGCAAGAAGCATTAGAAATAACTTTATAACTTGGGTCATAAGCATCTAAATTAACACCGACAACAAACATAGGTGCATCAGCTGATGGTGCAGAAATAATAACTTTCTTTGCACCACCTTCCAAATGAGCCTAAAAAATTAAAATTGAAATATTTATATATACATACATTTAAAACTTTTTGATAAAAATAAATATATAGATTTCTACATACAGAAGCTTTATCTATTGTAGTAAAGACACCAGTGGATTCTACGACGTATTCTGCTCCAGCTTTTCCCCATGGAATAGCTTTTGGATCACGCTCACTGAACACAGCAATTTTATTACCATTGACAACTAAGCAGCCATCTTCAGCTTTTATTTCTCCCTTGAATCTTCCATGAGTGGAGTCATATTTGAACATATATACCATATAATCCAAACCAATGAAGGGATCATTAATGGCCACAACCTATTAAAGATAATTAGAGAAGTGTGTTAAAAATTTTAAAAATAGAAATGACAAAAGCATGATAAAAATGTTTGGTAATAATTAACATATAATTACTTACCTGGGCACCGCGCTCAAGCGAAGCTCTAAGTACAAGACGGCCAATGCGGCCAAATCCGTTAATCCCAATTTTGCTCATGTCGTAGTCTTCTGTGCAACTGGAAAATGACCGATTTAGCTTTCGATGACATGTTTTTTGTTCAACAAATATTCGTCGCCTTTTACAAACTAATTTTGTTATTGATATAAGTGAAGTTAATCTCAATATCAAAGGCATAACCTCAAACAAGCTGAATGTATTTTTCTGATTTATAATGATTTTATTTTTTAAATTAAGTTAAAAATATTGTACTAATTAGATTACAAATATGTATATATATATTTGTTAATCTGTATTACATCATTTACATAAATTGCAATTTTATACGTATGCATGTATGTTGATTTATCGTAAATTGTGTTTTGTTGTAAATATTATTTATTAAACAAAAAAAAGTGAATAATTTCATCTATGAACGTTGAAGCATTGAAAAAATTTAGTTTCCAATATTTAAAATAGTTTTTATAGATTCGTGGTTTACTGGATTGAATAATTTATTAAAAATGAAAATCTTATTATAATATAAATATTTGTATTATAGAAAGAACATGGTTTAATATTAAAGGTCATTCAAGGTCAAAAAGACTTCAATGCCTTGCATCAAATCTGTACTTGGAACGAACGTGATCTTCCTCACGCATTCATACTTCGATTTTTACTATATATTTATACATATTTATATTTTATATTCCATGTAATTTTTAATTAGATTGAGACATTACCAAAGAAATGACGCAACGTACTATGCTACTATTTATTCGATACTATGTTACTATTTTATTCGATTTTAAAAGTCATTATTTGAAAAATTTTAAAATATAACTTTTAAATTTCTCTTTCAAAACATTTAATGTATAATAATAATATTGTATATCATATAAAAATTTCGATGTAGCTGTAAAATTTAAAAGATTCAATAATGAGTATATTAAATTAAGAAAATGTATAAAAATAGAATATTTCATTTCATATCAATCTAAATACAATAAAATTATGAATTTCAATTAATTAAAAAATAGAAATGATTTTATATTCAACAAAATTCGCTCTGATACATTACACAGAATTTCGATTTATCAGAGTTCTCGTTTTTTAAACAATGTTTAACTGATTTTTTATAAGTTAAAAAGTTTGGTTACGTGACAAAATAACCATCAACGAAATACATAACATACTATGCAATAAATATAATGAAAAATCCTAATAAAAATTAAAAGAATGATTCCACGAGAAGACAAATTCGGACATTTTAGAACCAATGTTTTCTCGAAGATTCTTAAATAGATTCTGTATCTGCTGCTGCAGAAATTATTATAGAAAGGTGCATTCTAGATTTAAATGACGTCATATCAACCGGTATGGATATAACAAGTGCATACATACTATATAATTGCACAAGCAAAATATAAATTATTTTATTGCTAATTTATTAATATCAATTGAGGAACTGTAGTTTATCACATAAATATAATGTAACAAAACAATTCAATTGTAGAAAAATAATAACAAATTAAGATTATGCTAAAAACTGTGATACTTACATGAAACAACAATGTGAACGCTACGCTTATTCCAAAAGCAGTGTCATTTGAAGGGCAGAGAACGGTAATATAACCGGTATCAATTCTAGGCATATGCGCTGTAACCGTTTCTTATTTTCGTACACCATCGGCTATAGTCGGGTCACGTGAAATACGTTCTTATCGACGTATTCAAATGCCGCTAAATTTAAACTTGTTCGCGCAACGTTTCTGTATTTAAGATTTATTTAATATTTAAGGAAATGAATTAAATAGAATTAGCAGATATTTATTTTCATGTATTTTTACAATATATAATAATTATTCATAACAAGAAAACTTACTTAGAAAACATATATAGAATAAAATGCAATAAATGAAACTTTAATACAATAATAATAAATTGATTATATAAAACGTAATTACATAAAACGTAATATCATAATGTATCTTTACTATCGAATACAATAATTAATCTTCACTTTCATCTAATTCTTGTGTAGATACTGGTATATTACCAGAATCAACTTGGTACATATATCGTATCAAATCCACTATACGATATGCATAACCATATTCATTATCATACCTATAAATATTTACATTTTCGTTTATTAATTAAAAAACTTTGCATTTACTTCATTAATTGTTTTATATTGAAATTTTTTCTATATTTATATTTTAAAATTTATGAATTTGAAAATTTGCTACAAAATAATCTGGATTAATTGGATATGAAATTCATTATTTTACCATTGGAATAAATAAAATTGTAATAAGTCACTTATAATTTATAAATAGTAAATAATTATTGAGGGTTTGTATTGTTATTTAAATTAAGAATATACATCAATCTAAGAAATAATTTCATGAAATTTAAAAATATTATTTATGAAATAATTTGTTTCAATAATTACCAGGCAATAACTTTAATAAATGTACTTGTTTGAGGAATGCCAGCTTTTGCATCAAAAATACACGAGTATCTTGTCGAATTGAAATCAGATGAAACACAATCATTATCTGTGTAACCCAATATACCTTTTAAATAATTCTCTGATGCTGTTTTCATTGCTTCTTTTACTTCTTCATATGTTGTTGGTTTATTGACTCTGTAGTTAATAAATATAACATTGTAATTGTCATTTGACAGATCAAATATAGTAACAGTAAATTACTGTTACTATAAACTTACTTTATTCTTTATAATTAATGTTGGTTGCAAATTGCGGACTTTTATGTAAATTCAAAGAATATAATTTCAAAGAATATAATTAAAAAAATAAAATTACTATGTGTTGTAAAAAAAAATATTTTAAATTATTATATTTGTATTACATTTTTCTCGTATTATATGTATTCTGTACAATTTTGTATAAATGAAAGTAATGCATAAAATTTTCTATAAATATATAAAAGTCTGCAGTGTTATCTGTTATGAAATCTGAAGTTATCTGTTCGGAAATCATTTTCTATATTTATTCTAATCAATTGAATGTTATAAATCTAATAATATTTTTAAGTTAATATTAAATAGTGCTATAATAATACTATTAATATACAATATGATATATGCAATATATTATAAATAATATACAATATACAATGTATACATATGTAGTATTATAATATTATAAAACATTATTTAACATATTATTTACTTTTAAAAAATCATTTTATATTCTACTTTATATAATATATGGAAACATTACCGAAAAGTCATGTCACACAAAGAAACATTTGAAACTGGTACTCTAAAGGCTATTGCAGATATTTTGCCTTTAAGTTCAGGGATAATTTTGTCTAATGACTTGCCGGCTCCTGAAGATGTTGGAATAATATTTTGGAGAGCACCTCTACCATCTCTCCACAACTACGATACAAATATAATTATAATATATTTATTTAAATTAGTAGAACAAATCACTTGAGTTAAATCAATATTAAAGTTCGAAATAATATTATCTATTCTGAGAGATGTTATATAACAATAAATGACTTATACAATTAAATATTAATTATGGTCTTAAACTTGTATTTTTTTTTTTTGACATCAATATATAGGCAAAAATACAATTTTTAATAGTTATTCAAAATAAACAGATTATTAACAAATATGTATTATATGTATTATCGAAGTTCTTTATTGTTATATTTTTCTTATTGAATAAATATATTTTGCTTTCTGAATATATTTTCATACAATATATATTAACTGCTTCAATAAATTTATGGCTTTTAAAAAGATGAGTTTTTGTGAATGAAGAAGATATTGAAACTTATGCAATTATTATATATCCAATATTATATACATATGTATGTAATCTTTCTTTGTATATGTATTAATCGAGAAGAGTTCCAAGAGTAACTGATGAGTTGCATATGTATTAAAAAATATAAAATAATGCAAGAAAAGAGATGATAATAAATAAAAACTGGGAGCGATCAAAAAATACCAAACAACAATATAAACAGAAAAGAAAGGATAGCTATGACTAGACTTTGAATCGGACACTCCAAGATCACACGAATACCTCCTAAGCAAAACAGAACCACCTTTCTGCAACACCTGCAGCCAACAAATCACCACCCAGTACTTGCTACATGAATGCAGAAAATACCAAAACATAAGAAGTAAATACGGAATAAACCAAAATACTGCCCTAGCCTGCCAGAAACAACAAAAAAACGTTATCAACTACCTAAAGGAGACCCAACTACTAGACCAATTATAAAGAAACATTTTCAACATGTCGCTAAAGATCTCGTAGTCGATGCGACGCTAAACCCCCATATAAAAAAAAAAAATTGGGAGCGATCTCACAGACGATCTCTGATATTTAATATCCTGAAGTACAAAGTAATAAACAATAAATAAAGTATTTATATAATTGTAAATAAAATATTTTTATATTAGTAATATACTTATTTAGTACAATAATATGTTTAATAGTAGTTTTATAATAAACACGCATAAATAAAATATTTCATAATTACCTTTCCCCTTTCTAGAGGTCCATCTAAAGTTCGTTGCATTGATGTTAAAGCGTGTACGCTACTGATCATTACTTCAATAACTTCGAATTTTTCATGCATCACGTGAATGATAGGCGCTGCACAGTTTGTTGTACAAGAAGCAGCTGATATTATCTTACCTTTTTTTGGATCATAACAAGTATGGTTCACACCATAAACTATCATCGATGCATCTACAGAAGGTGCAGTGATAATTACTCTTTTAGCTCCACCATCCATGTGTAACTGTTGAACAAAACAGATATTTTCTTTCTAATATATATATCTGTAAAATTATATTATGTATACGAACAAAAATTATAGAAAACTGATAAATGACTTTTAATAAATTTATAATGTTGTCTCGTGTAATAGAATTTTAATTTATTTTAAACAATTTTTCACGTATATATTATAATTCTCTGTTCATTATCAATTTCTGATCAATTCAGAATTAGTTAAATTCAGCTGCTAAATTTTCAAACTCTTCTTTTTCTAAGATAACAGAGTCATAAATGAAAAAAATGTATTCTTTATTTTCGATTTATTTTGTCATGTAGCATCATTCTCTTCTTAGTTGTACTTTCAATATTAGGACACCTTATATATATCAAAATTAGAAGGAACAATTATTTTTCTTACGCCTGCTTTATCTAAGGTAGTGAAAAGTCCAGTAGCCTCAATTATATATGTTACACCTGCCTCTTTCCAATTTATTTTACATGGATTTTTTTCCTGAGATGTAGCTATTTTATTATCTTTAAAAGAAAAAATTGATTTAAATATTAATTCCGTAAATTTGAAAATCTTATTAATTGATTTTTTAAATAATAACGATATTTACATATAAATTTATTTAGCATAAACATTAATTAAATTAACTTTAACGAAATATAATGTATCCATTATTAAATATACCTCCGATAATAATATATCCATTTTCACATTCCACATGTAAAGGATAAGATCCGTGGGTCGAGTCATATTGAAATAAGTATACCATATAGTCAGTTGAAATATATGGATCATTAATTAAGTTAACCTAATGTAACATAATTGTTTTACGTTTGCTTCATACATAAGTATTAGTATATGAATGAATTTATTAATTAATTACTGTAACGTGTTTCTCAAGACAAGCACGTAAACACATTCTACCTATTCTTCCAAATCCATTAATTCCTACAACAGCCATAACTTCACAATAATAATGTTATTATCTAATATCAGCTTAGAATGTTATATACTACATAAACATTGTAGTTATTTTAATTCCAAGAAATGTCAAAAAGTCAATAGTACGAATTTGGTTACAAAATAGTAATATATTAAACATAGCTATCTATTAGAATTTGTTTGCAATAGTAATATAATATAATTATAGCTATTTAAACATCGATAAAATCAAAAATTTTGTGTTCGAATATTTTTATAAGCAACTATATATACATTTATAATATGCACTGATAATATAAATTATAATAAAATAATATAATGTTATGTTATTTCAATTATATAATAGTAAATAATTATAATATATATACTATATAATTATATTAAATTATATTATATTATATAATTATATTAAATTATATTAAATTATATTATATTACATAATTATATTAAATTATATTAAATTATATTATATTATATAATTATATTTTATACAATGTATATCATATTGTGCATATAATATTATTATTACGTTAATGAAAAATACATATAATGAAAAAGTGCCAAAAAGTTTAAAATTATTTGATAAATAAAATAAAATCTCAAGCGTATCTAATAAATTTTAAAATATCATTGTATAAAGTTCTTAATTTTTAAGAATTTACATATGCTTATTATAATTTTCTTAATAAAAACGAAACATTGCATGAGATATGTACATCATTTTGAAGTAATTTCAAATAATTTAAATATTTTTTTATCTTAGTGACTTTAAAATAAATAGTGATTACTTTAAATAAAATTAATAAAATTAAAGTAATATAATTTTAAGATATAAAAATAGTAGGACAGTAATATATAATTTCGAAATATGTAATAGACTAATTAAATGATTTCGTTATTTTGAAACAAAAATAATTAAATAAAAATTAATTTAGATAGTTTGCCACAAAAATGATTTAGGTAATTATTTTATTTTAAAAATTTATTTTTAATATTTGTTATATAATAATTTTAAATTTTGTAATATTCATTAAAGATAGATTAAGATTAAAAACGATCAGCTATACTATCATATTATATTCATTAATTAATATTAATTAAGTTCATTAATTTATAGATTAAAATGATCAATAATAAAAGTATTAAATTAATAAATAAATCTTTTCTGTTTTGTTTATGTGAACGTATATATATATATTCCAGTTATAGATACATATTATGTGTTATATTCAATTTCATATCCATTTTGCTGTTTAAGATAGAACTATTATAACTTATAATACAATTTATTTATAACTATAATTGTTTAATAATTAAAACCAAGTAAAATAAATTATTCCGAAATATATTTGTATGTATTTCAGAATAGTTTAAAGTATAATTTTATCTTTCTTCTTCGTATGTTGTAGATATTATTATTATTTTTTGCATATATTTGCTACAACCAGTATGTACGAAACCATAAGTACGAACTAGCTTGATAATGAAAGGCAAATATCAATATTATTACTCATTAATCCTGAAATGTTCCTGGATGAATAGTGTTATATCCGCAGTCAAGGAAGTCGGTTCATATTATGAAATACCAAAATGAATATTTACACGAAGACGGGATTTACACTTAAGGAGGTTCGACGGTAGGTAAACTTATTAAAGATATGATATTTTCAATATTATAAGAATTATTATTAAAAAAAAGTTATTAAAAAGAATTTAAAAATTACGAAATATTTTTAAAACTTTATATAGCTTGAAAAGAAGAAGAGATGAATAATTTATAATCTACAATAAAAAGAATGACATATTTTAATAATATAATTAAACATGAACATTAATTAAAGGAAATTATAAAAAAAAAATGAAAGATAAATATCTTTCTAATAAAGGTAACTAATTACAACTTTGAATTATATTAACTCATTTATAATTTTGAATTATATTAACTCATTAAGAACTAATATTGCATTAACGTTAACATTTTATTTGCAATTCTATTTCAATCAATTTACATTATAAAACTCCTATTTTTTCATATTGTGATTGTAAGAGAAATTCCAAGGATTTGCTTATTTTATTATTGAGTTATCATATCTTCTACATAAATCTTACAATTTTTGAATTGATACTGTTTGATTCTTAATGGGTTAATGTAAAAATTCTACTATATACAAAATATAACAAAAATTAATCGGGACTGTATAAGAAAAATTGTAAATTTTCAGAACGATTCCAAAAATTTTGATTCAAAAATGGATATTAAATTTAAAAAGATATTTTAATTTATTAATACTTATCATAGAAAGCAAATTTTTTCAACAAACAATTTAATTTTGTGAGATTCAACATGATACTGTACGACAAATTTTGGACATGGAAAATGAAACTGTGTTACGATACAGAACAACAAAAGGAAGAAAATATAATAAAGAAAATGTTCCAATTTTATTTGCATTATAGAATGGAGTTACAAAAATTAAGTTATGAAGTAAATTGATTATTAGCACCTGTTTCTTTAATATAAAAAAACTTATAATATATGCTTTCAAATATAAATTAAGATCATTAAAAATTAAAAATATCATTTTAATATAAATTGGTAAGAAGACAATTTTGTATATTATAAATGATATTTATTTATTTTAATGATTAATATTAATTTACATATTTTGCATATATTCATGTTTTTTTATATTAAAAAGAAAATGATATCAATAAATTTTAAGATCAATATTTCTTAAAATAATCAGAAGTTAAATATTAACTGCTAATATTAAAAAGTAAAAAGAAGTTTGATATATTATTACATTTGTGTTTTTAAAGTATTGTAATATTGATTAAATCGATGAAATTATGTTATACTATTTGTCTTATATTTTTCAATGGTAATTGTAAGTAGAACGAATTATATACAGTTTGCGACATAAAGATTTATTAAACTAAATAAATTTATAGAATAGAATTTGACTGCTTTGGATGAATATTAGTCTGTAGCTAATTTCTAATTTCTTAAAAGTTTTACATTAATAGATAATAATAGGTAATAATATTAATAACATGTAATATATTTAGTGTAGAAAGTTCAATTTTGTATTTTGTCAAAGGAAAATTATTAGATTATGTACACTCTTAATATAAAAATAAGAATTTGTTCGTAATTATATAGGATATAAGTCAGGAATCCTTTTCATCATTATTAAATATAATGATGAATGCTCTATTAAGGATTTTCTGATGAAACGGTAAATAATATAAATTACATGTTTAATTTTATTCATAGTTTTATTAGTTTAGATTAATAATTATATTGTTTATATTATTATATATTTTCATGAAATAATATTTATTGTAATTTTTATTTAATAGATTGTAGGTGTATATAAAGTTTCATGTAGAAAAAATAAAAAAAATAGCTTATCTACTATTTTTAAGAAAATACAATATTAAGATACATTTTTCTTTTAGTAAACTGTAAATGAATTTTCAAATAATTGTGCTAGATCTTCTTTTGACTGTTCTCGTGGTGCTAATTTTGTAATACGATGCTGAAATAATGTAAGAATAAATTAGTAATAAGAAAGATAATGTATAATTTTTAAAATGTATGTAAAAAACATTGTATGATCATACAAAAAGAATTATTATATTATTGTGACAATTGTAAATTTGTTATATATATATGGAATTTTAAAAATATAATAAATTTACTTAATTGGCATAATTCATGTATAGTGACTAATAAATCACTATTATAAATAAATCACTATTCATTTAACTTTTCTCTATATCCCAATATATTTTTTGAATAGAAGATAATCTTAAAATTAAATAAAATTATTTTAAAACATAATTACACCATAACTATATGCTACTAAATAGAGTAATATATAACTATTATATAAATTATAACTATATTATACTATATAACTATAATATATAACATAACTATATTAATATAGTTATATATTATTTTATTTAATGGCAACAAATGTCTTATAGAAAAGAATCAAAGATCATGGTTTTGTATAAGCGTGTTCTGACAAATGAATCATTTAAAGAATATAACTTTTTATGAGTTTATATATTTATATATTTAATTGTTCTGATATATTCATGCATCAAAAAATGCATCCATTGTAATCATAATAACGGATCTTACTTGTGGTAAAGTGCCCTTAACTAACGTAGGTATATCTTCAGTTTTGAATCCTAATTCGGCTAAACCATTTTCAATTTTCATCATTTGCATATATTCTCTTACAGTGTCTGCTAATATTTGACCGGCATCACTCTTTTTAGCTCGGCTAATATCAGTACCAAGTAATTCAGCGGCTTCTAAATGTCTTTCTGGACACGCCCGTCCAAGAAAAGAAAATATAGCAGGTGCTGATACAACAACTGAAAGACCGTGTGGTATTAAAGCATGATTCTTGCCATAACCCTACAATAAATAATATAGTAATATTAATTTATAAATAATATAATTTAATCAGAAATATTTAGATAAATGTAATTAATTTTGTGTAATATATATACAAAAAATATAATTAAAAATATAATTTGGTCAGAATAATTATTTACTGTTTATACAGCATATTAAAATATAATTTTGATGTCACTAAAATACTAATTATTCTAATTTTGTTAATGAATATTTTTTTTAGTTCTTATATAATTTCATATTTTTTTGTTAATAGAAGTATTTGCTATATTGTAAAAATAAAACACATAATAAACTGTCTAATAGAGTATTTATATTCTCTATTTTATTTTTTTATAAGAAAAATAAAATATACTTACTTTTTAAAATTATTTAAATACTAATTATAAGCTAATAATAATATTAATAATCTACTATTAAACTTTTAATTTATCATTCTACTATACCTCTGCTTGAAAACTTCGCACATTTCCACTAATAGCATAAGACAGTGCATGGCAAAGGTGAACTCCAGCATTACCAAATCCAACACCTGCCATAGTACTTGCAAGATGCATGTTACTTCTGGCTTCAAGATCATCTTGATTATATACTGCTCTTTTAAAATATCTGTGTAAAAAAAAATAAGTAAAAACATTACACTTTTCAATTTCATGCAATTCTTATTTTACTATTAATTTAATTTTATATTTAAAAATAATAAAAATATAAATAAAAGTGTACAGAAAGTGTAAATAACTGATCTCTCTCTTTTAAAAAACTGAAAAATAAAGTAAATTATATAAATGTAAATTACGTTAAAAATACTAAATATTAAATAACACTTGAACATTCTCTAATATTGTGGTTAGGTTAATTATTTAAAAAAAATGATTATATACTTGCGCATTATTTGAAGAGCATATTTTGCCCACACATCACTAATAGCATTGCTTCCTTGATAGGCTGGTCTAAGAATTGGATTTGGAGGACAATCTCTTTCTGTATATGGTATTGCAGTAAAAGATTCAAGGGCATGACACAGCACATCAAAACCAGAAAAAGCACAGACCCTTTCTGGCATACATAATGTATGATTTGGATCAACAAGACCTAAGGTAGGTCTCAGAGCTCTGTTATAATTAAAATTTTCAAAATAAACAATTGCTAATAACTATGAAATAAACAGTAATAAAAATTATAAATAATACTTAATAATATATAACATACATACATACATATAAAATGTAAGTTATTAGTAATTAGATAATAATTATATTGCTAGAACATTATTATATTAATTATATTATAATTATATTGTTAGAATATTATTATTTATATACTATTACTTTTTTCTATGTAAAATTATAAATAATAATGTACCTATTAGCAATTCCAGTTTTAGTTTTAAGTGATTTATAATCAAAGATAGAAACGCCAGTTGTTTCTGAACCAGTACCAGATGTAGTTGGTACTGCTATTAATGGTTTTAATGGAATTGTGATTGGTTTTCCTTTACCAATAGGTTCATTTACATAATCTAAAAATTCTGCATGTGAATCACAACTATAAAGATTTGCTGCCTTACAAGTGTCCATTACAGAACCACCTCCTACCTAATGAATTAAATTTATAACAAACAAATAAATAAATATATATATACACTTCATTTATTTGTTATATATTATATATATCTTGTAATTGATCTTAAGAACTTTAATTATCTTTAATATCTCTTTAATACTTTCTTTAATGCAATAAGAATAATTATCTTCTTTATCTTCTTTTTTTATTTCTTAGAATATTAGAATTTAGAATTTTTGTTTGCTAGTTGAAGAATATAAAAATATGTTCTAAATATATTTTTTAGAAAAATGGAAATGATAATTTTTAAATAATATTTACATATATGTTTGTCTCTTACCGCTATAAAAGCATCAAATTGTCCACGTTTAGCAAATTCAATAGCATCTTTCAGACTTTCTTCTGTAGGCTCTACACGTACTTTATCATAAACTGTAGTTTGAATTCCATACTTAGTAAGGCTGTCCATAGCAGTTTTAATAGGTGGTAAATTTATTAAGTTAGAATCTGTCATTAAACACACATTTTTTGAACCAAAATTTTGCATATCCATACCCAATTCTTTTGTAACACCAATACCATATCGTATTGTAGAACAAGCCATCTATAATTATTTATATTTATTAAAATTAAATTAATAAAAATAAGATTTAATCAATGACAAAAAAAAAATTTTATTCTTAGAAACTTAATTTTAGAGTTATTTTTTATGCTTTTAAATAAATAAAAATAATTTGTCACAATATATAAGCCATATTGTCACAAATCATAATGTCATAATATATAAGCACTATAACATAGAAACATAATAAAGATTATTTAAAGCAATTAAATAAGTTGTGTTTTGTCAAAAATTTTATATGATAACAAATATGATAGTTTTAAAGATGTTCTTTACGTATATTAATTACAATCTGGTATGTATTTTATAATTAATAACAAATTTAACTTCAATGTTAGATTATTTGTTACCAAATGTTGAAAATACCTCAAATGCATATTCTTTTGCTGGAACAGCATTAGCTACTGTACTACGAGCTTTCCTTAATTCATGTAAAGTTGTACCTCCTGGATTTCCATGAGCTGGGCATTTACATCTATAAATAATTTATACTGATTAATGAAAAAGAATTATAAAATGAAGTTAAATACTATACAATTATTTAATATATACAACAAAAGTATTTGTGAAAAAACAAATTATTGATTATAAAATTTACTGAAAATTTTAATATTTTAATACATTTACAACAATTAATTTCTTAATTAAATATTGATATAAATATTTAATATAATTTTAAAGACATATAGTCACATATTAAGTTAATTAAATTTATTATATATAATACAATTTTAAATTTATTGTATATATACAATAATAAATATACATAAATAAATTTAATGTCTAAAATATAAATATATACAGTTGTTTAAAATTTTGAATATAAATTTCCTTACATTTTTATCAGAACAATATCATACAAATATATAACATATAGAATATTTTGAAATTGATAAACATTAAAATATTTTGGAATTAACAAAATATCATGTATCCTTTAATATATTGCATAAATATTGCTGTCATTAAATAAAAAAATGTCTTATTATATCACTTGTATATAGATTAAATGTATATATACCTCTATGTACATATAACATGCTTGTACGAAATAAGCACATATTTCATATATATATACTCACGACTGTAAGGATATAACTTGCAATAAATCTAAAATACGTTTTTTGGGAATTTTTTCCATTTTTTCGTAGTATAATATATAATTGTAAAATAATATAAAAATTTAAAAAAAAAACACTGATTCAAATGTTCTTCGATCTCTTGGACTATTTTGAACGGAATGACATGATTCTGTTGTATTTAACTACTGCATGTTGACATGATTTTATCTATGTAGATAACAGTCAGTGCCGTATCTACATATACTACCATTTATATCATTAGTGTAGTATTTTTTAATACAAAATTTAAGTTTTATATTATATTTTATTAGAATTATATTAATTATTTTATATTATATTATATTATATAAGAAATTATACCTTAAAATTATTTCTAATATTAGTAAAATTATATATATGGATAATTAATATTTGGATAAATATGCATAAATGGATAACAAGTTGATTGAGACATTATAAATGACATTGTTGATAAGTGAGGTCAAACATGAAAGTGTTTGAAATTTTATTGTATGTATATGTAACATATTTGAAATCTAAATATATTTACAAGTTTTGTATTGTTTTAGCTCAAAATTTTATTTCTTTTTTACAATATTGTTTAATTGAATTTTATTTAAATATTATAATTAAATATGTAACATGTAAAGAAGTATATACATATTATATATTGATTTTAATAAGAATTTTTCAATACTAATAAGGAAAATATTTTCATCCTTAATCATAATGATAAAAATATTTTTTCATTCAGTACAATATTTGACTTTGTATTATTCCAAAAATTAATTCAATATTTGACATAATTTCTATTTAAATCTTATTTAAAAATCTAATTTAAAAATATCTCCATTTGTTACAAGAAGTTTCTATAAAAATTTATTGAACTGCAATTGAAACATTACAAATGAATCAATATTAAACAATTATTAATAAATAATTACTATTTATGTATAACATAGAAAATTACACAAAGCAGAATTTTGATTTATTAGCGCAGTTAAAATAAATCAAAGTATGACGAAATTTTTTTGTCCAAAATATTTTTGTGTACGTATTTACTATCTTTTTTTTTAACAGAGGACAACGTAATACTGAGAGAAAAAAAAATTTAAATATACAAACGTAATAAATCATTTGGCTCGAATGTATGTTTATAATCATAAAATAACAGATAATCAAAATTCCAGATACAATAATATTTTGTTTATATAATCCTTATTTATCGGAACTATATAACCTCTATTTTAATCAATACGCCATTAAATGAATTTTACTAATTGCATCCATTTATTGAAACTTGAATTCCTATTATATAAATGAAAAGTCATTGATGTAGAGAATTACAATGATATAATATAAACTCTAATTATATTATTGTATTATCATAATATGTATATTATGTATACATGTTACGTATATATATATAAAATTTCTTTACCAAATTCATATAAGAGAAATTCTACTGTCAATATCTGGTAATAGTAATAATATTAATTTATCAATTTTTTGCAATATTTTTATTTTATAATATACTAGGATATGAAATTTATCATATCATTGTTATCGTATATATACATATAAATTATGAAGTTTTATAAATAAAGAAAATTATCTTTTTTTTTGGTCAGAAAGTAAGTGTTAAAAATAAAAAAATTTATCATTGTCTTTTACTATGATCAAAATTTTATTAAAACGTTATACATTATTTACAATACGTAGTGTAATATGTAGCACATAATGTACTACTTATACTACGAAACATTAACTTAGTACTACGTGTAGTACTTAGTAGAAAATACTTAACTATTTATGGCTTAAACAATTATTACAAGTGATGCTGTTACCATCACCGTAACAAAGAATTATGAATCTTATAGTTTTTATATATTACTGTAACTGAACAATATTATTTAAAATATAAAATTATATTCGTTACGTTTTAAAATCCTATTTTTTAAACTTTTTATTTTTTCTTGTTTCAACTTGTTTTTTACAATACATTTATTTATCTAAAGTTGCAATTTTACAATTATCAGTAATAACCAATAAAAGTATATTAATTATGCAATATTAATTAAATGTACATTTAGTTGAATTATTAATATATTATTTTGTAAAATCGTGCTTAACTGAATTGAAAGAAATACAAATTATTTATGCAAGTAAAAGTTTCGTAAAAATGCATAAATTTTCTTAAAACGTTATTAAGTATCATAAATCAAAATCTTAAAAATACAGAAATAGATATTCTAAAAAATATGCTTTTTAGATTATCTTAATTATATATAAAAAATATTCTCCCGTACATTTATCATTATTTATGAATATTTTATAATATTAAATGTAAAAGTTTATATATTTTCTTTATTTTTACTATTAGAAATATAATATTTTTACATACCGCACGTTTTTCCGATGTGTTATTAAATTGTGTATCGATATTGAAAATATTTTTTTAAACATCTTTTTACCTTCTTTAATATCTGGTTAAATTGAATTATGTTGATTGTTAAGTAACTCATTATTTAGTTGTAATTAATAATGAACTTAAACGCTTTCTGGCACGATTTTATCATAATGGAATGTACTACTAGAATAAAAGCTTCCTCGTTTTGGAACATGCGGCGTAGCAATTTCTTCTTGAAGCGGTTTATAGACTAAACCGCAATTTTTGTTATCAATTAAACCTTGTCGAAGTATCATGGGTGGCCTAATAACAGGTCCTTGACCTCGTCGTTTCGCCAAATGAATTGCAATATGCACCGTTAGTAAAAGAATCATTGCAATTATAATAATTACGATAACTACAGGCCAAAGTGCACTAGTATACCAGGGATGATATTCCATGTTTTCAGAAGCAACAAAATCTTCGTATTCTTCATCTTGAGTTGTCCACGCTTTATCAGATTCTTCATTCGATTTCATTCCATGATCAAAGTTTTGCAGTTTAAATAATTCCTAATACAAAAAAAAACATTTCATTATTCATGTTTGATGAAATAATTATTATTGATAAAATTTCTCACATAATATTAGATTCTCACATAATATTTCTCACATAATATTAGATTCTTATATTTTACAAATTACATTAGTAAAATTTCAAAATATTAATTATATTTGATTTCGACTTTTGGAAAAAAGATATTTTTTTATTTATTATTAGTTTATTATTAATTTTGATTAAATACTAAATGTATTTTAAACTGAAAAAGTTATTAAACTTGTGATAATGAAAATTATTATAAAATTTATACATACTTCATCACTTTCAACATTACTTCTAAATAGAGGATCTGAATCTTCTGATGTGTCGAATCCTCCAACGAAAATTTTCAATTTCTTTTCTTTATGAGGAACTGGTCTTGGTCGTGGTCCAGTACTAACGCCTTCACAAACAATTTTTGCCAAATCTGTCCATTGGCTAATACCTTCAGAATCTTGATAGTTGTCACCGTTACCATAATTGCTTATATATCTGTAAATTTCAAAAAACGCATATATTTAATTTAATTTATACACTTTTAATATTTTATATTTAAAGTTTTTTCTTTCTATTGACAGTAATAGAAAGAAAAGTAATAGTTCAAAATTTGTCTACAATTTTAACACCAATATTTTATATTAATAAAAATAAAGTTTTACTTAAATGAAGAAAGCTATTTTTTTTATTACTGAAATAAAAAAGGAATCAATCATTAAGAATTTCTAGAAAAAATTCTAGTTTTTTCGGAGTCTACAGTGAATTATATATAAACATGATAAATACTTTGACGTTTCAATTGGTGTTACACCATGATCAGTAAGCCATTGTACAGCATCATTAAATTCAAGATCACAATCAATAGGATTGTGTGATAAATCCAAACTAACAAGTTTCGGCGTTGCTTTTAGTTCTTCCACAGTAATTCGACGAAGGAGATTTTGCCGAACTGACAGGGATCTAAAAATAATATTAATAGGGATTTTTAAATAATAATCGATAACACGCTTAAATATCTCGCAATAAAAAAAATATTTTAATATTTTGCAAATATAAATATAAAAACAAATTTTTTTTACAACAAAAATATATGTACCGTAAACTAATCAGCTGAACTCTAGCTTCGGACCAAACTCTCTCTAAAGCGCATCTGCTTACGTCGAGTTTAGTAAGATCGGTAGCCTCCAGGAAAGGTGTTACTTGTAATGTTGTCAAAGGATTACCAGCAAGACTGAGTTTCGTTAAACTAGTGGCACCACTGAACATGTTATTTTCTAACGTACTAATTATATTATCAGAAAGATCAAGAACTCGTAAAGATGAGAGACGACTCAGAAGTCCGTTTGGAAGACCAGTTAAACGATTTCTAGATAAATTTAACCGCGTTATTGCTGGCATGGCATTGAAAGTTTCTTTCTCGAGGAAATACAAGCCACAGTTAGAGCATTCAAATCGATATACGCTGTAAGAATATATTTAATTATAAATGCAATTTTATACAAAGTCAATATCAATTTAATTATATGTATGTATGTATATATATATATGTTGCATGACAATAAAATTCCGGATATAGTTGAAGATAAAAGTTTCTTTAAAAATTACATGAAATAATAATTAAAGAATTTTACCACTAACGATAACAATGTTTAAATAAGACGAAAATAGAAGAGATCTTAAGGTAATGAAATTTCAAATGAATTGAATATAATCTCTTGTTTAGAATGTTTAATAACTCGATTTAAGATCTTTAAATGAAAATTTGTAGTAGTTTCTACAGATTCTATAAAGATTTGTATATAATTATATCAATAATTATATATAATTATATAATAAAATTATTTTAATAAAGAAATTAAATTTCTGTTTGAAAATTACATATATATACATATACATACATAGCTTTAGTAATAAATGGATGTGTGAATGCATTACTAAAGTTATGAAGAGAATTATCATTATATATAACAGAATATTTGAAAAAATTATCTTACTTGAATGTATCATACTCAAGTCCAAATGTTTTAAATATTGGTAAAGTTTTCAATTCAGGATTGTCATTCATTAATAAAACTTGTAGCCTTGAATTAGCTCTTAAATGATGTTCTGTTAGAGAAGTTAGTTTATTATTACTAATATCAAGAGAATTAAGTTTATCAAGATTGGCAAAGGCATGTTGATGAATTCTTTTGAGGCCATTCGAATTAATTATCAATTGATCCAATGAGGGTACACCAGAAAGATCATCTTTCGCTATAATCCTGATTTTATTATTAGAAGCATCTAATAATTTTAATTTAGTTGTTTGTATAGTACTCAAGCTTGTTAAATTATTTCCTAAAAAATAAATATACATATATAATTATCAATATAAATCAATTAATTAGTCATTAAATGTCAATATTAATTTCTAATAATTATTGTTGATGATTACAGATATTAATCATGAATATTATACTGAAACAAAAAAACTCTTGTTTTTTTCCTTTCACAATTAATATATTGATTTTATAAATAAACTTTTTTATTATTATTTAATATGACGCTAGTAAACAATTTTCTCACGATTTGCAAGAACGATTGCATCAACTAAATATACAAATTAGTACGATTAACTACATTAATCTTACCAGCAATATGAAGCGTTTGAACCCCATTATTAGAAAAAAGATCAATAGGAATTTCATTCAATAAATTGTCCGAAAGATTCACTTCCACAAGTGATTCCAACATTTTGAAAGTTGTGCTATCAATTTCCTTTAACTTGTTGCCTTTTAAATTAACATAAGTTAGACTTTTCATTTTTAAAAATGCTGTACGTTTCAGTTTCATTAAACCATTATAGGAAAAATCAAATTCTGTTACTGATGGAGCATCAAACAGACCATGTTTTGTCAATTTCAAATCTTGTGTATGTTTCAACGGATTTCCAGAGATAGCAAGTAATGACAATTGTCTGATGCTTTGGAAAGTGTTCCGATGAATATCTTGAAGATCGTTACGTGTTAAATTTATAGAAAACAAATACGGTATTCCATCAAACGCAGTTTGATTTAATTCGACTATCCTTGTGTCAGTAATCACAATAGATTCCAATTGCTGAAATCCACGTGACTGAAATGCATGAGGGCCGAGACGAATTTGACCAGCATTTTCTATGCGCAAATGTACAATACCCCTATCAAAAAATTGATGTTCCACAAGTTTAGTGCACCTAAGTACAGAAAGAAAAGATTTTTAGTATACACATCCTAATTGATATTTGAATTTTTATTATTTAGAAATTACGCGCTTGCAATTTATAATAAATTATTAAACTAATAATTGCATTTATGATATTATAAATCCCTTAAGAATTTACTGAATTTTAACTGTAATAAATTTGTATAAAATAATATTTTTCGAAAAAGAACTATTATTGCATACTATAATAAGTCTACTTATCAATATTGCGTTTATCTATTGTACAAAAGAAATAATTAAACTATATTATATGCGTACGTTGCAGTTGCTGCAGCTGCATACTCCCCGGCACATTTGCAATAATCAGGACATTGTGTCATAACTTGTTCATCATCTTCGGGCTCTTCATCGTATTCGTCGTCATCGTCTTCATCGTCGTATTCATCTTCATTCTCATTTTCTTCTTCCTCGCTTGAATCATCTTCGTAAGGTTCGTCTTCATCTTCAACTAATTTCGTTATAGCATTTTTCTCTGTTGTGTTATCACTAGTTATCCTTGATATGGATTCGTTGTTAACTATTTGTGCATATTGCGCCTGCAAATATTTCCATTTTAAAATTTAAGTAATAATTTAATTTAAATGGCGGTCTAAATTAACAATTTTTTAAATTTTTACTCAAAATGTAATATAAAAAAAAAAAAGATTGTTCTATTATCAGAAAATTTCATTAATCGAATACTTTTGTCTGCCTATTAATTCGAATATTAGAGATTCTATTATAAAACATGTGTAATATATATGTGTGTATGTGTGTATTATATGTCTATAAAATTGGTTATCATTTCAATCATTGTCAGTTATACACAAAAATTTACAAATCACCTTAGAATTAGAAGCTTCTTCGTTTAAAGTACGAATTTCTTGCATAAGCATATCCTTAGGACCAAGGAAGGGTTTTAAAAGCTTTAAATCATCTTTTTTTAATTTTACCCTTTCATTCTCAGTAGAAGACGTTTCATCTTTCGTTTGTCCAGTTGATGTAGCGATGGAATAAGACTCTTTCCTTGATGTACCATTCACCTTAAGTAAAGGTTTTTTCGATTCTGCAGAACCATCTAAATTGTTCACGTGTGACTTAATTCTCAATGATACGTGTGTAGTTGATGCTTCAATATTATCAGACGAAGTATCAATTCGACAAACCACTCCAGTTACGAGTATCGTAAGTAGCAAAGCAGTTAGAGTCTTCATTTTAAAAACCTACAAAAAGAGAAAAAAAAACCATTTTTATTTAATTATATAAATTTTGAATTATGATCATTATATATACTTGTATTTCTATTTAAAAATTTGGAAGATCATTTACTTTTTGAACGAAAACAAATTCTTCCTACATTATACTATTTTGAACTGAATATAATTAATTGAAACTTTTTTAATACTAAAAGATAATGCTATGAGTGAAATATTTATTCATTAAAAGCATTCGTTATTTCTTTTGAAATTTTGATATGCAAATTCTCGAGTGAGAATGTATAATTTTAGGAATAATATATTCAAAAGTATTTGTGATTTTTAAGACAACATATTTCGAAATTTTTAACAAATTTTACTTTTTTGAAGATGTCATATGCTTTTCAATATATTTGTCCTTAATTTTCTACCTATCATTGACAAGTTTAACATAAATCAAACATAAATTACAAAATTAATTAATTAATATTAATTTAGCGATAACGCATATTACTACAATTCATTCTTAGATAATTTAAAATTTTAAATATAATTTTATATTAATAATATATTTTGTATGTATAGGAGTTGTTTTGGATATTTCAGATATAAAAATGAATATTTGTAGAAAATGTTTCACATACAGTTCTAGATTCTCATTTAATAACTTCATTTTTTCAATTTGTTTTACAGAATGTTTTAAAAACTTATGATTATGTAATAATCAATATTAAATTACATATTTATGTACAATATTATCTTTTTCCATTGTAGTTACGTAGTAACCCTATAATTATTTTCATTGCTTTCATTTTCTCTTCTCCTCCTCCACTTCCCTTTTATTCTATTTTATTTCTCAACTCAAGAATTTCAAGAATATTTCTGGATACCTACGTGCCTTAATAAAAGCTGCAATACGAAAAGAGGATTATGATATCTGTACGATTGATGATATTTGAGTATTAATTCATTAAAATAAAGAAAAAAATAAAATTTGTTTAAAATTATGAAATTATTTCGTGGTTTTCTAATGAAATTGTTCTATCATTTTGATGAATTTGATTAATATTCTCAATGCATGTTATAGATTTCACAATATTTCGCAATGTCGTTTATAGGATCAATAGCAATAGTAATATAAGGACACATCTCGTTAATATGTAGATGTGAAGACATTAACAATATTGAAAGAAAGAATCCTATGTTATATTTTTAGAAACGAAAAATTTCGTTTCAATTTAATTGTAAAATTGAAAAGTAAACACATAAGATGTATTGCAAATTCTACAAAAACAACATGGCAGTAGTATTAAAAAAAATATATATATATAAAATAAAAATTATATATATATAAAATAAATATAAAAATTATATATATATAAAACAAATATTGTAATATCTTTGCATATTATAGAATAATTATATATCAATGCAAATATTAAAAATAAAATAATAGTAATAATATACATAATAATAAAAATATGTATATAATAGTAATAATAATAAAAGAATACCAGCCTTTCTCTTTATTTCATTCATACACAATGCTTCTCAAGAATTCCTGGAATGACTGCTATCTGCCTCCATAAAGATTACAATGCCTTAAGCCTGCATCTGTTAAAACAGAGATATCTTTGAATTGAATTGAATTTAACAATAAGCAATTTTAAAATTGGCCAGTTTTTCTAAAAAAAAAAAAAAAAAAATGACAACACTCTTTAAACATTAATTAAAAATATTTTGTAGACGTTTTTCTTAGCTAGAATGTTTCACAGTTAAGCTCGAGTAACTATAACCGGTTTTAAAGGAAGCATTTACACCAAAAAAGAAAATACATTCCAGTAAGTGAGTCAAGAGAAGCTTCTCTCTTGATCTTGTACTTCGAACTTGAATCACTTGCTGTTTCTATTATAAATTTCAATCGTATGTACACATCGTTCAAATATGTTCGAATACTCTGAAAGATTTATTATAAATATAAATGAAAAAATTGAACTAATTTGTTTCATCTACTATACAGCGTATATCTACACATGTTTCATCTATACACGTATGTATAACTTTTATGGATTATTTGCTATATGATATTTCAGTCTTATTTTTAGCTACGCTGTAATGTTTGACAATGTTTGAACGCTAAAATGCAGAACACTGTACATTATAATAAATATTCTACTTTAGGTATTTTAGATATTTTACATATTCTATGCATTGTATGCATTCTTGCAACTTCCAATTTCCCATAAATACATAAAATATATAAAAACCCGTTAGAACTAGAACAGTATTATAAGAATTTTAATTGTATATTCAAAATGTATATTTCAGTTAATTATATATATATTTAAATTAATAAATTCAATGAATAAAAGCAATATTTAATATTATTTTATAGACTTAAAAAAATTGTACATTTAACTTATTAGGAAATACACGATTCGTTAATGAATACGCAGATTTTTGGCATAGTTGTTTGAAACAATGTCAATTTTCTTTATGTTAGTTTAAAAGAATCTTTTTTATTTGATTTACAATTTAGAAAATTAATCAAACCGAAGATAAAAGACTTTTCAATTAACAAAATAATTCAATTAACTTCGATAATTGTGATTAATTTTATAATTTTATTAACTTTTAAAAATTGACTATTCCGTATATTCTATTGTAGATACACTACCTACCATGTATTCTATTGCAGACACACTATTGTAAATTGTTGGATATATAATTCAATTTCATTAAAAGTTTCAATAGCTACGATTGACGAATGTTCTTTTGCTATTAATTTTCTGCATTTTCAAGTTTCATATCTCTAATAAATAACTAATAAAACATATCTAAATAAATAACTAATGTTAATGATATAATATAGCTAGAAATATATATTTCAATTATTATAAAATTTTAATAATAAAGACAAATTTAAAATCATTCTGCGGAATCTTCAACCACTTTCCTTTTATCAATATTTATTAACTGTTTTATATAGCAATAATTTAAAGTTTTTAAATATACGATAGTATACATGATGATAAATAATAAAATATGCAATTACAAATTCTTCTATCTTTTGTGTTCTTCTCGGTTTTTAAAAATAGAATTATGTATTTATTATAGTCATCTACTTTTGTACTTTATATTTTCAATGTAATAACTTATTATATTTTAGAATAAAGTAATTTATTGCATTCTGTTACTTTAAAATGAGCTGGAACACATTTCAACAGTTTTTAAAAATTGTTGAAATTTTTTTAAAAATGTAAAATATAAATATGCATATTCTTATATTAAGTAAGTTATATCACATCACTAGCAATTTCGAAATACTGTATTCAATCTTCACTCGTTTTATTTCTATGTAGAAGCAAAAGTGATGAATGCTTATTCGTAACACAAAATCCGAATGTTTCTCGAGTTAATAAAATGTAATTATTGATCGAAAATACTAGACTTCAATTGTTTATAATCAACATTATCACAATAGAACTCCGTTTATATGAATGTCCAAGAGACAAATAATTTATATTCATAGGAATCCATTGAATCTCTTCTTTTTGTAGTATTTTTCGTTCTTATAGTATCTTTCGCAGTTCAGGTTCAAATAAATAGATTTAATCAGCAAGAGCTCGTTTAATTAATATCGATTAAAATTTGATTCAAATAAATAAAGTTTTATTGTATCAACATTCCCATTACTTATTGGTTGGTATTGACGCCTGATGCAAGGTTTTTTGTCAATATTCAATTTTAATCCCTCAGTATTGATAGGAGACGATCAATGATATTGTCAATATTATTCATCGTGTGCTAAATTCTTTATATTCAGTTAAAACATTTAGGTCAATATCATTCGTTAAATTTTGCCTTATTGTTGAGTCGCACTGCTCGTTGCGAGGTCGATGTTGCGCGTCTTACTATATACAGTTTCATTGAGATAGAACTGGGAATGAATCTGATACAGTAGATATATTTAATTAAAAAGTTATATTTCGAGGCTTTTTTACAGCAAACGTACAATAATCAGCTAATAGTTCGTTCAAAAGTTTGTTTTACTAAGTATTTATAAGATTCGAAAATCAGAAGTTAGCGACGATCAATCAAATTTGATTTGTTTCCGAGTTGTTGCGACCGAAATTTTCAAGGGATAGTAAGTATAATATATATGATGATATGTACTTGTACGAATATACGATTTGTTTGCACGAGATATAGCAGCCAACGGTTGGAGCAAGCTTCAATATCTATCTTTAATTGTCATCAACAGATTAAAGAAGGAGAAATTTGATTTACTACACTGTTATAATACCATTGAAATGTGTTAAATTTAATTTAATTTAAATTTATTATTGTATTTAATTATTATTATTTTAATTACTATTTGTTTAATCTAAATTTATTAAATTTAAAATATCATTAATTTTTTATGTGTAAGTATATTTTTGCAGTTGTCCATAGGAAAACTGAGTCCGTTCTAGATTTTCAAAAAATATAAAAAAAATTTAGCATTACTTATTGGAATCTTTACAATACAATCAGTTTTTAAATCAAATCTTTAAAAGATTTTCAGGAACAATAAAAAAGATTCGAAAAATTCATGAATGAAATTTCGCTTAGGACAAACCAGAATATTTGCAATATTTTGTTATATAAGTTCAAACTTGCAAAAGATATCATGAAAGTTGTTGAACTTTAATAAATGTAAATTGGTTAACAGATATAAATATAAGATTCAAAAAATAATCTTTTATTATTATTTATAAAATAAACATTAGATTTAAAGATTATTCAGAAAATAAATTAAGAATAAAATTAGAAAGTGCAATGTACAATAATTTTTTAAGAAATGTGTGAGATAATAAGTAGCGTTTTAAATTAAAATGAATTATTTGTCATTATATTATTCCCATTATTTGTCAATTATTTTAAATGGGAAAGTAAAGAAAATAGACAAATAAAATCCGTATAAATTAGATATAGAAAGCAAAGAATTATGTTCTAATATTTCAATTGTCAAATACACTTTAGATATAAAGTGTTCCAGTTTTCCATGTATTTCATTATCTACAAAATGCAATTAACTTTTGATAGTGTAAATAAAATAAAATGACACAAATTATATTTACATGTTTGTATGATTATTGCTCATGAATATCTGAAAATTTTGTTCAATCTGTAAGTATCAATACTTGAACTTAATAAAAATGTGCAAATTAATAATGAATTAATAATAATTAAAAGCAACACTCACTTTATCTTTTACATTATTTCTTACACTTCATTCTTTATCTATACATATAAATTCAAGAATATTTTGATATTATATTTATATTATCATGTAATTGATTTATCAATTACAAACGTTATTATTTTTATATTTTGGTTTTCAAAAAATAATTAATATTCATAAACATCACAAATTAATATATATATATTAACATCAACAATATTATAAATTAAAATAGTAACCTAAACCAAATCAAAATTTAATTAATATCATATTATAATATCATAACATACAATATAATAATATAATGTTCATATACATAATATTCTACAGGAAATATAAATTAAAGATTAATCTAAAGTTTTTTCTTAAGAATTAAAAAATTAAAAAGTAAAATAAAAAAAATTAAAATATTGAAATGATTATTAACTATCCAGAATAATATCTACAATGATTTTAGAGAAAACAATATGTCATATAGTATACCATGTATATTTTACCAAAATATATAAGATGCATATGTATATTAATTCTAAAGAATCGTTTTTGAAATGATGTTAGCTCCAAAGCAAAAATGATTTCTTTATGATTCTCACTATTGACGTATGACTACTAAAAATAGTTCTCTTCCTGCATACATTTGCTTGAACAATTAGTGTTTTTGTATGTATATGTATGTATGTATGTTCATGTATACATGTAGATCAATGTATTCAATAAATTGCGTGTGTCTTTTTTAAATCGATCATCACAATCTTTGAATATTTGAACATTTAAGCAAGTTCTAGCTTATTTTCATACTTAATTAATTTAAAAAACTAATTTGATCTGTTCTAATAAATAAATCTTTCAGTGAAATCACACATAAAAGTATATATTTCGTTGAATTCATCTTGTTATATTAAAGTGAGCAGTATCATTTCAGAAAAATAACATTGAAGTAACATTGAAATTAAGATACTTTTTTTATAATAAACAAATTAATACTTTTTTTGTACTTCAATATATAGTTTTATTAAAACAAAAATAAAAATTACATACAAAAAAAATAAACGTCGAAATTATTTATTTTTTATCATTTTTCGTCATATTAATATTTGCTATGGTTAATTAAAATGAGATAATCTATATAGTGTATGTATAATGTATGTAAAATAATTTTACATAATTAGAAATTTGACAGTTAAACAATATATGCATTATATTAAATTAAATTATGTTTGTTATTTTTATAAAGTAAATAATATTGTGTATCATAAAGAATATTTCTGAATAATATATATACTTTTATACTTTTTCTGAGTAATACAACTGATATTTTTTAAAATTGTTTTTATGAAATCTATTATATGTCATGTTTTTTTGTCAAATTTATCTTATTAGAAAACTA